AAGTGTTGACAAGAATGTAATTGAGTCCAAAGCCACTTTTTATTCCACAGCAAGCGGCCATTTTTAATCTCCCTCTGCTCTCTCTGTCTCTCTCTTCCTCTCTCTCTCTCTCTCGTCTCTTTCTCTCTATCTCTCTGTTTCTCTCTGTTTGTCTGTCTCTCTCTCTCTCCCTCCACTCTCTCTCTCTGTCTCTCTACCTCTCCCTCTCTCTCTCTCTCCCTCTTTAGTTGCTGTAAATACCAGTGCAATATGTTTTGGAAGTATACAAAACATCAGTCAGCTCCATGCAAGACTTTTCTCTGAGTTTAGAGATGAGATTTTGGCGAGAGCGAGGATTCGGGAACGTACCGTCACAACATCACTGTGGAGCTTCTAAGTCTCGTGGATCAAAAGCGTTTGAAAAGACGTCGGCACGAGACAAAATCCCGAGCTGGGCTGAAACGAATACGTCTGCCGTCCGTGAGAGCAGGGTTTAGCAGTGAATTTACATGTTTGTACTTTAAAGGAGAGGCTGAGTTGTGGGAGGAGCCAACATTTAAGGCCATGTAAGTGTAAGTCATAAACGTATTAGGGCAACCTTTGCTACACACAACTACAACACATCTCTTCAATATTTCCAGCCAAGACCAAGCACATACCTATGGACCAATGTCCCTCATGTCTTTGTTATTCTTCCTGTCTTCGAACGGTTTGATTCTCTGATCTGTTGTTGGCTAATCGACAACTTTTGCAGTTGTTGTGAATTAAGGCTATTCAAAATAAATGTAATTAAATCCAATGGGGGAAAACTGGGATTTTTTGACATGAAGAACAAGGCCACGCTCCTCTACCTTAAAGGTACAGCTTGATATTTCCCTGGACTCACTGCTCCATAGAAACCTTCTTTTACCTCCATTTTAAGTTTATTTTCTCGTTCTTGTGTCTGTAGCGCGCTCTGGGATCCTCCTCCGTCTGCTGCAGTCCTTCATTCTCCCCAGCAGATTAGTGTCTGTGTGACGAGGTACAACTTGACCTTAACCTCCTCTCCCGCTCGGTTCCAGCTCCTCTGATGTAAATGTAAATGATCCATCACCCGCCGCTGCTGCCGCATCAGCAACTTGTGGCCGTGCACTTTTTTAAGGAGACCCAGAGTACGATGGGTCAAGTACTGCGCTACACACTTCTGTCTTTGGTCTTTTTACTCCACAAATCAGAAGTGAGAGGGGCTCGGGTTGAAACGAACGCCCGTCGTCTTTTCTGCCGAGATATATAATCGACGAGTCCAGGACGACCGGAGTCTGTGTGTCTGAAGAGAACGATCTCATGATAAAAGATAAAAGAAGTTGTAGTTATACAGGACAGATCAGAGAATCAGAATTAAAAATTAATCAAGATGCTCAAAGATGTTCAGAGTTTAGAGTATAAAATTCTAAATATTCAAACGTATAATATTCAAGTTTCCAGTTTAAGCTCTCAGTTTGAGAGCACAAAGTCCGTTGAATGTTGGATTTTTCTGGAAAGTATATTTTTCTATTGAATGCTTTTCGAGGGACGCGGGGAAGGGCTGGTGGCCATGTTTAAGTATAGCACCTCTAGTGGCAGGTCCAATGAACTGAACTTGCAGTCAGGGTTACTATTCATTTATTTCAAACCTGCAGGTGCATACAAACGGGAAAACAAAAATACAGTCTGCTTGGTTTGAAAATAAAATAAAATAAAATCTTGGTCTTTAGCTTAATAAGGAAAGACGTCTTAAATCTCCAACTTCAGCCTGATGAATTGTAAACAAAAGTACTTAAATGTAGCCTGGTCTTACAACACCATTGTACTCATTTCATTTGCACTAAGGTCTGGATTTGCTCCATTGACTCAGTTAACAGGTGGGAGGGGTTAACTCCTTTTGCAGATTGAAACCATTGGATCTGAGTTTACTCTGACGTATGGAATGAGCCCGAGTGAGTGAGGCCTTTAGCATTTAGCCTAGCTTTAGCATTTACAGTAGCCTAGCTTTAGCCATCTCCTTTGCTGCTAACGGAGCCCGTGGGGAGTAGCGCCACAATCTTTGCGATTACATTTACTAAACATTTCTCTTGCTCCGGCTTCAGTTTCTTGATAGAACCAGACCAGAATACTCGCATTCTTCGCCAAACTACAACCTGCCCGTTCGGTGCTAACACTTGACATCACCCACATCTAACTACAACACCCACCTCCTGCGCTCTCTGATTGGTCGGATGGAATTCAATCGATTGTAATCACAAACACAGGGACCAGACCCAGACGATACACACAGGAAAGGATGATTGACCGGAGAGTACGGATGGATTAGGCCAGGGTAAATGTGACTTTAAACACAAAAGTAACTGTAACACATGACCTGATGCTTCTCGTATCGATCCCAGTCTGAGACCAGGGCCTGACCTACATCCAGCTCCTGAAAAACCACTCAAAAGGTCTTTGTCTGGTCTGTCTTGGCCCTCCCCCCATCTCCTCCATCTCCCCCATCTCCCCCCTCCCTCCAGGACAGCTGGCAGTTAGTGTTTATCAGTAGAATCAGGCAAGTAGAGGCCCCTCTCTCTCCTCTCTCCCTCTCTCATGCTACCTCCCTCTCTCCCCCACCACCCCTTCTCATTCCTCTCTCCCCTCTCTCTCCCCTCTCTCTCCCCTCTCTCCACCTCTTCCTCTCTCTCTCTCTCCTCTCTCCCCCCCCCCCTCCCTCCAGGACAGCAGGCCTTCAGTGTGTATCACTAGAATCAGCAGAGTCAGTTCTGGGCTGGGATTGGGATGAGCAGGACTGAAGCAGGACTGAAGCTGACACTGTAGAATGTTCCTCGGAGAGAAAGATGTTTAAAGAAGCGTGTGGAGCCGAGCGGCGGGAACACGACTAATCACACACGGACACTCCGCCGTTTGTTTTTCTGTCGAGGAAAACAAAAATCCGGAGATAGCAAAGATTTTCTCTTTTCTTATCAACAAATACATTCGAGGCCCAGAACATATCGCAGTCAGAAATCTAAAAGCCAGAAAGTGTCTGTTTTTCACAAACCCAAAGCGACGCTGCTGGATTCACTCAGAGCTTTTTGATGAAAGGGTGAGAAGAAGTTACTCGAGTAAAAGTAACTTGTGGTTTTCTTTGAGCACAAAATAATTAAAAGTGTGTTTTTATGGCTGGTTTTTACATATTTCTCATCTTGACCTGTTTGGGTGGAATAACGACTGCTTTAGGTTTACATATAGTTGTTATAAGTACAGTATGTATAATAATGAGTGTGCTGCTATGGTAACTAGCACCGGCACAGAAACAAACCAGAACTGGTCCAGGACCTTTGGAGAAATCGTAAAAAGGGGCTAAAAAATGGTTGCCAAAAATGGCTATCATTAAACTCAGAATCATCCATCCATCCATTTTCTTCCGCTTTATCCATTGCCGGGTCGCGGGGGCAGCAGTCTAAGCAGAGACGCCCAGACTTCCCTATCCACACACACTTCTTCCAGCTCGTCTGGGGGGACCCCAAGGCGTTCCCAGGCCAGCTGAGAGACATAGTCCCTCCAGCGTGTCCTGGGTCTTCCCCGGGGCCTCCTCCCAGTGGGACGTGCCCGGAGCACCTCCCCAGGGAGGCGTCCAGGAGGCATCCGGAACAGATGCCCGAGCCACCTCAACTGGTTCGACGTGGAATCAGAACTCAGAATCAGAATCTTTTATTGCCGTGTGAGAAACAGGAAGTCACAAACGAGGAAATGTCTTTGGCTCTCGGTGCGAACAAGTTAAAGCAGAATAAAGGGCAAAAGAATCTAAAAGAAGGCAAAATGACGGCTCTGGGAGTTAAACTACTACTACTGATAAACTATTCACGTTTAAAAAATAAAAGATATTTTAGTGACACTACATAAAGAAAATTTTGAAGAAGATAAAATGCTGATATCCTTTTAGTAGTTACAGAGTTAAAGCAAAAGCTAGAATACCAAACAGGAAGTGTGTTTGTGACATTCCTGACCACCATTTTAACTTTTGATACACATAAGTAATAAGTGAGTATGTTTTGTCCATGATTCCTCCAGAAAAAAAAAATAATAATAATGAAATTAATAGAAAGAATGTCACTTTTGTGCAAAACTGAGTCTTGACCTTGATTTTGCTGCAGAAAAAAATCATAGTTTGCTTTGTCCTGCTCCTTTATAAACATGGTGTGAAGGGACTGAAGGCCCAAAGGTTTGAACATGAACTTAAGTTAGTGATTCTCATCTGTGACAGAAAGAGAATTTCTCTCATTAAGTCAAAATATGTCACAGAAAAATATAATTACTCCATATGAGATAGACACAGATAGACACATAGATAACAAGACACATACACAGGTACTTTATTGATCCCTGTAGGAGAAATGCAAGTGTCCAGTAGCTGCAAAAATAAAAACATGAAATGGATTCTTCTAAAAAGCAAACAATAATAACAATAACAACAGTCCTTCAGGGCACAGCAGCAGAAGTTGAGCTTTTCAGACCATTTTCTCTTCTCTGGTCCAAAGTAAAAAGATAAATGCTTCATTAGCATTTTGTACGTACATACTGTACATACATCTGTATGTATGTACAGTATGTACATTATGTATGTATGTATGTATGTATGTACATACATACATACATAATGTACATACATAGACACAGGTAGATAAACAGATAGATAGATGGATAGAGATAGACAGACAGATAGATACAGACAGAACACCATATTTTTCTACAGAAACTTGTATTTTCAGAACACAGACCATGAAATAGAAACAGAAATAGAACTCATTGAGCAAAACAAATTAGGTTTAAATAATTGAACTTTGTCAACATGAAGTATTGCGTTTGTTGGACTCTCGCAGCAGCAGAGGATGCGAGCTCCATGTTTCACGAGTCGGGAAAATAAATCTCTCTCCTTTAATTGAATGTTTCTCTGTGTCTTGACGCCCACTGCCTCAACTCCGAGCAAAGACTGCTTCAAAAGTATTAAATTGTCAAACAGTCGTGCTCCAGAGTCAACAGAGCGAAGGCTGAGTCAACCTGGGCTGCTTTTTCATTTCATCCAGTCCATGACACGGCGGTGATGTGCGTTCTTCCAGGAGAGGAGGGTGGTTCTGCAGGGGAGGAGGGTGCTTCTGCAGGGGAGGAGGGTGGTTCTGCAGGAGAGGAGGGTGGTTCTGCAGGGGAGGAGGGTGGTTCTGCAGGGGAGGAGGGTGCTTCTGCAGGGGAGGAGGGTGGTTCTGCAGGGGAGGAGGGTGGTTCTGCTGGGGAGGAGGGTGGTTCTGCTGGGGAGGAGGGTGGTTCTGCTGGGGAGGAGAGTGGTTCCTGGAGGAGAGTAGTCATGATTATGAAAATAGTAGATTGACACTGAAGGCAACAAAACTATGAATGAACTCATGTGAATTGTGTACGTACTAAAAAAGTATGAACCAAGTGAAAATATGTGTTTTATTCTGGTTCTTCAAAGTAGCACCTTTTGCTCTGAGAACCGCTTCACTCTTGGCATTCTCTTGATGAGCTTCAAGAGGACCTGAAATGGTCTTCAACAGTCTTGAAGGAGTTCCCATGATGCTTAGCACTTGTTGGCCCCTTCACTCTGTGGTCCAGCCCCAAAACCATCTGGACTGGGTTCAGGTCCGGTGACTGTGGAGGTCATGTGGCCCAGCACCATCACTCTCCTTATTGGTCAAACAGCCCTTGCACAGCCTGGTGTGGATCTACAGCCAATAGTCATAAAAAGATCTCAGTGAAGAAGAGAGGGTGTCCAAACATTTGCTCTCTACTGTACATTAACATGTCTGGTCAGAAATCTCTTGTTGATTACATTGTTTTGGACAGTAGTAAGTAGTAAGTAATCTTTATTTATATACCGCCTTTTCACTGCACATTGGAGTCTCAAAGCGGTTTACAATTGTTATTTTTGGGAGTGGGTGTGCCAGTACAGGAGGCACATGTCAGACCTATTGTACATATTTTTAGTGGTAGGGGAAACCGGAGCACCCGGAGGAAACCTACGCAGACACGGGGAGAACATGCAAACTCCACTCAGAAAGGCCCTGGTCCAACCGGGATTCGAACCCAGGACCTTCTTGCTGAGAGGCAAGAGTGCTATCCACTCAGCCACCGTGCCACAGTTTATTTGAATAGCACAGTTCATACACAAGGCAACTCATAGCTGAATAAAACAAGATCATTAATAATTCCAGTGACTTTTGCGGCAAAACAGAACTTATTTGAACATTGTCATTTTCAGGACTACACCTCCCGAAAGTTGCTGCTCAAAAAAATTAGTTAAAGGAGCAGTCTGTAAAAGTGTGGCCAAAAGTGGTACTGCAGCCTCTCCCACTCCCTGACTCAGGTTGCCAGATATGCAGACGAATCCAGCTGGGACCATAACAGCTGAATAGACAAGATTAATCTATAACCAACATCCATCCATTTTCTTCCCCTTAATCCATTTCTGGGTCGGGATTGGCAGTCAGAGATGCCGAAAAATATAGCGCTTTTCAAAAACTCAGACGCTTCACAATTCAGGACACACACACAGACATTTAGACAGACACACAAAACTAAACATCATCACACACATTATCGCTGCCCCATTGTTCTCAGAGAAAGTGTTTTTAAGTCTCATTAGCACTTTGCATTAGCACTTTGTATTAGTGGCTCCTTTAATAACAGCTGTGATTACACTTCAACAGTAAACCACGGCATTACATCAGCTCCACTCTGCTTCTAAAGACTGATTAGCAACGCAGCCCCTGTGGGATTACAGACTGCAGCTGCTCAGCGATCTACACAATGTACACAACAACACAACATACACAACACCAACATATACAACATACACAACAACACAATATACACAACAACACAACAGTATGGAACAGACATTAGACCTCTCAAAGCAGTCACTTTGACGGGCTTTAGTTGTGGAAGTGTAATAAGCTGGATTTCTCTAAGAGGGGGGATCAATAAAATATCCATTCATCTATCTCTATGTATCTATCTCTGTATCTCTCTATGTATCTACAGTTGGGCAAAAAGTATTTAGTCAGCCACCGATTGTGCAAGTTCTCCCACTTAAAATAATGACACAGGTCTGTAATTTTCTTCAACTGTAAGAGACAGAATGTGAAAAAAAAATCCAGGAATTCACATTGTAGGATTTTTAAAGAATTTATTTGTCAATTATGGTGGAAAATAAGTATTTGGTCACTTCAAACAAGGAAGATCTCTGGCTCTCACAGACCTGTAAAGTCTTCTTTAAGAAGTTCTTCTGTCCTCCACTCATTACCTGTATTAATGGCACCTGTTTGAACTCGTTTTCTGTATAAAAGACACCTGTCCACAGCCTCAAACAGTCAGACTCCAAACTCCACTATGGCCATTACCAAAGAGCTGTCGAAGGACACCAGGAAAATAATTGTAGACCTGCACCAGACTGGGAAGAGTGAATCTACAATAGGCAAGCAGCTTGGTGTGAACAAATCAACTGTGGGAGCAATTATCAGAAAAGGGAAGACATACAAGAACACTGATAATCTCCCTCGATCTGGGGCTCCACGCAAGATCTCATCCCATGGGGTCAAAATGATCATGAGAACGGTGATCAAAAATTCCAGAAGCACACGGGGGGACCTGGTGAATGACCTGCAGAGAGCTGGGACCAAAGTAACAAAGGTCACCATCAGTAACACACTACGACGACAGGGAATCAAATCCTGCAGTGCCAGACGTGTCCTCCTGCTGAAGCCAGTGCATGTCCAGGCCCGTCTGAAGTTTGCCAGAGAGCACATGGATGATACAGCAGAGGATTGGGAGAATGTCATGTGGTCAGATGAAACCAAAGTAGAACTGTTTGGTATAAACTCGACTCGTCGTGTTTGGAGGAAGAAGAATACTGAGTTGCATCCCAAGAACACCATACCTACTGTGAAGCATGGGGGTGGAAACGTCATGCTTTGGGCCTGTTTTACTGCTAAGGGGACAGGACGACTGATCCGTGTTAAGGAAAGAATGAATGGGGGAATGTATCGTGAGATTTTGAGGCAAAACCCCCTTCCATCAGTGAGAGCTTTGAAGATGAAACGTGGCTGGGTCTTCCAGCACAACAATGATCCCAAACAAACCGCCCGGGCAACGAAGAAGTGGCTCCGTCCTGGAGTGGCCTAGCCAGTCTCAGACCTCAACCCCATTGAAAATCTGTGGAGGGAGTTGAAAGTCCGTGTTGCTCGGACACAGCTCCAAACATCACTGCTCTTGACAAGATCTATAGTAATCTTACTTATTTGTATATATTGTGTGTGCTCCCTGTGTGCTCTTACTACTGTCCTATATGTGCGCTGCAACATCGAAATTTCCCCACTGTGGGACTTTGAATTTTTGTTATTGACCAAATACTTATTTTCCACCATAATTTACAAATACATTCTTTAACAATCCTACAATGTGAATTCCTGGATTTTTTTTTTCACATTCTGTCTCTCACAGTTGAAGTGTACCTATGATGAAAATTACAGACCTCTGTCATTATTTTAAGTGGGAGAACTTTCACAATCGGTGGCTGACTTTTTTGCCCCACTGTATCTCTGTATCCATCTCTCTATGTATCTATCTCTGTATCCCAGTATCTCTCCATCTCTCTATCTCTCTATGTATCTATGTAATATAAGATAAGATATACATTTCTCTCATTCCATTAGTTGGAATGGGAGCAGTTAAAAAAATTGTATAAAAAGTTGTCATTCTTTGAAAATGATAGTAATTCTAGAGTTAACAAAAGCAGTGGAGCGAGAGGACGGAGAAGGGGGGGGGGGGGGGGGGGGGGGGGGGCACGGAGGGGAGGGTCGGAGGAGGGAGGATGATGGAGTGGGAGGGGGCGGTTTGCAGTGGTGAAAGCTCTACATTTGAAGTGTTGTAATATTGAAAGCCGAGGCTGATAACAGGAACAGGGAAAGGGGTGGAGGCCGAGAATAATCAGGAGATAATTAAAGCTCTTATCCGTGTTTTCATAGAGAGAGGAGCTCACATGGTTCTGCACCGACACACTTCATAAACACACTGTCATTTTGTGGACGCACAAAGAGGACCGAGATTATACTGCTGTGGATCCATAACACTGCAGAACCTGGATGTACCATCACATTAGTCGTGACTAGAACCAGACAGTACCATTGCATTCGTCCTGACTAGAACCAGGACGTACCATCACATTAGTCCTGACTAGCACCAGGAACTACCATCACATTTGTCCAGACAAGAACCAGGAAGTACCATCACATTAGTCCTGACTAGAACCAGGAAGTACCATCACATTAGTCCTGACTAGAACCAGGAAGTACCATCACATTAGTCCTGACTAGAACCAGGAAGTACCATCGCATTAGTCCAGACAAGAACCAGGGAGTACCATTGCATTAGTCCCGGTCTCAGGTCTCTGTCCTGGTTTCAAGTGGTTTAGAGAATAGACTTTGAAGCAGAGGTTTGTTACGAGTCTCTCCCTGGTCTCGTACCATCTGTGACATGTTAGAACCATATAGACGCCAAGGAGCACATGGACTGGCCTCCTGCTGGTCCCAGAGTCAGGACTAAACATGAAGAGGCAGCATATTAGATTTATGCAGCTAGAATCTGAAACAGTCTTCCTGAAAATGTGAGACTGGAATCCAGGTTTAAAAACAGTTTCTGCTCCAACCGAGGGATTTTATGGTCACTCTTTGTAATGTTCTGTGATTATACCTGACTCTAATGTCTGTCTGATTGTTTTTGCTCAGCCCTTGGACTGTCCTTGTGTATGATCCTTGCCATATAAATAAACTGGCCTTGCTTGGCCCGAGGCGGTGTCTGACTGGGATGACTTTGAGAGGCCTCCGCGGTCTCACCTCTGCTCCAGGAGCGACACACCATCTGCATTTTAATCAATCCACACATGCAGTCGACTATACACAGCGGCTGCATTTCACAGACCAATTAACAAAAGTCTAATGTGATTTTAGATTCTCTCCATCAATCTGGAAAACACACAGACTTTGTTAAGGCTTCTGCAAAATCATCAAAAAACAGGATTGGTGATGTAGATATTAGCCACAGAGATGATGTAGATGCTGAGTTTAAACCAGAGTGGGCGGGTCCAAAAGATCCATGAGCATGAGCCCTGGCGTACTGCAATACCACCCCGGGCCTGTGGGGGTGTACCTGGAAGGAGAATTATCCAATGCTTTTGTAGGGCATCTTCTAATTCTTAAAAAACGGCTTTATAGGATGGTCCAAAAGTGGATCTTAGTCCAAAAATGGTTCTTGGTTCAAAAGTGGCTCTTGGTCCATAAGTGGCTCTTGGTTCAAAAGTGGCTCTTGGTCCAAAAGTGGCTCTTGGTCCAAAAGTGGGTCTTGGTCCAAAAGTGGGTCTTGGTCCAAAAGTGGGTCTTGATTGTTTGACTAAATATTGTTTAGACCCAATAGAAGGCAAGGCAAGTTTATTTGTATTGCACAGTTCATACACAATGCATAACTATAGAAGGTATTAAACATAAAATAGTAATTGAAAAACAATACAAACATATTTTGACCTGGATTTGGACATTTTCAGAGTTGTAAAAAATTTTTGGTGAACATTTAAAACCACATTTATCTTTTGCAAACTTAGCAGCGACTCACTTCTTAATACTTAGAAACGTATAAAAGAGAGGTCCACTCGTCTATCTGAAGAATCTGAACATGTGACAGAGGCCAAACAAAAATAGTTGCAGGAGGGAGATTTAAAAAGAAGTAAATATTTCTTTATTCATCCCACGGTGGGGAATTGTCACTGTTGCAGCGCACAGACAGGACAGTAGTGAGAGACAGAATTATTAATCATTGCCATTTGCAGAAAAAACTACATTTGAAAATACAGTAGTAGATATAATAGCATACAAAATAAGTAGCTGCTATGTTTCTTAGCTAGCTGTAAATGCTTCAATAACAGACCTTCAAATACATATATAAATGTAGTGCAAAGTTATACACAGACAACAGCTTGGATTGGTATATTTCCTGACAGAGTTTGATTGTTAGTTTCTTTTTAAACATGATCATCAGTGGATTTTTTGTCATTTCCAGAGACGCTATAGCACTACTCCTGCCTCCCACATGTGCAAAGAAATATAGTTTGATTCCAGCCCAGCCCCAGACCGTGATGGGTCTGTATCGTCACAGAAAAGTGTAGTATTTGGGGAGAAAAACCTTACTTTTACATCTCACTTAATCAGCCGCTGACACAGATTGCAAAGCAGCTGAGTCTGACGCAAACACAGACAGGAGTTGGAGGAGCTGGAGTTATCGGCTTGTTATTTTTCATTATTTACGCCTTCTCTTTGGCTCCGTGTGTGTTTTCTGGACCTAAGTTTCTGCAGCATCATGCCCTATTTCACACCACTTCCACCTGATCTAATGCATTATTAATTGCCAAACAGATACATGTCTCCTGGCTCTTGTAAACAGGATTATCTGGGGTCTGGATTCAGCAGAGGCAGCAACTTTTTTAATTAAAGAGGATATTAGAAAATGAAAATCCACTTGGACTTGACTGATGCACTGAAAGAGTCCAGTCTCTCTCAAACTTTAAAGCTAAATACATGTAAGTCCTTTGTTAATTTAATCCTAGCCTTAGTATTCCCCTATGGTCCTGAGCTTTGGGTCATTGACTGAAACAAGACAATAGAGAGGAGCTTGGTCACACGGGGGGAGCTCGGAGTAGAGCCTCTGCTTCTCCATGTCAAGTTGAGATGGTTTGGGAATTTGTTGCGGATGCTTCATAGCACCAGCCCCTGTCGTTAATGACACAACCTTAGTCTTTCGAAGTCATATTGTTCACGTATGATCAGTTTTTGTTGTAGAAGAATCTATTTTTTCTTTCTATATTTGGACAACCCAAAGCCTTAGTAAGTGGTTGGATACCCCGACGAGAGAAGCAGTATTGCAAAAACACTACATCGGAGGTAAACATTTCTTGAATTTAGTGTTTTTATCTTAATTTGAGCACGTCTGTTTAAATACTCAGATTCTCCAATGAGACAAAGTCATTCAGTCTTCTTTCAATAATTGTTGCTTTATTATTGAATTATCTCCTGCACTGACTATATTTTGTTTCGATCGTTGCCAAATGTCACATGTACATATCAATCAATAAAGTCTATCTTATGTTTTTTCTCATTCCAAGGGAGACATTTCCTGTATCTTTTTAAAACAAGATAATTTTGCTTTGTCCAATTGAAGAATCTTGTGTTTAGGCTCAGTCAGAATGTGCTCAGATTAAGACACATTGTGCCAAATTTGAGCATTTGTTTGAATTTATATATATATATATATATATATATATATATATATATATATATATATATTTTAATCACTATTTGCTGTGAATTAACTACAACATCCCATTAAAAAAGCGCCCTTCGTCTGCACAGCACGCTCCGGTCCACGCAGCAGTAAATATCAGAGACCCCCCATGGATCCTCCTTGTATTGTTCGGAGGTGTGTATCTGGACCGTGTCTGTCTCTCGCCGACCGCCATTTCACAGGGGCATTTGCATAATCCATCTGCTCCAAGCTCGGCTTCACGTACCGGAGATTATAATCTGAAAGGTTATGTAGATCCACTGCTCCAGGTGCGGATGCTAATGCTAACCCTAACCGCATAGCGGCTATAAGGCATAAGACTATGGTCAGCACTAGATCATATACGGAATCGGGACGGAAGCAGAAGTAAATATAGCAGACTATCTATTCATGCCTAAACTTAATCCAGCCATTCCCATAAAATAACCCCAACCCACCCTTCACCCTAACCATAACCATCTTACTCAGACCACCTTAACCCTAACCTTAACCATCTTGACCATAAGACTATATCCCTGCTGTTAGCATAGCGGCTATAGGGCAAAAGACTATATCCAGAATGCTAGCTTGTGTTATTGTGGGGGATATATTTGGGGAGTGGGGTGCTGTCAGAGTTGGGAAATTGGCTGGTGTGTATTTTTTGGTATAAACTCGACCTCCGCTGTTGTCGGTACAAGATTGACACGAGTTTGAGGAGCTGCAGAGTTTGTCAGAGTTATTCAGCGCTGGATTCAGGTCGATAGTTCTCTGAATAAAAGGTAAAAAAACAAATCAGTTCAAGCGAAAATAGTTTGTGTGGCGCTGAACAGATGGAAATGTGTTTTTTTTTTTTGGCTTCCCCTCACCGGCTTTCACTCATGTCAGCGCTAAAACATATTATTGAAATGTGTGGTGGATTTTCAATAGTTTATATTTGCTCACACTGCAACAAGTGATGGAAATAATGGCAAAAATGGCAAAAAATTGGAAAAATGTGTCTTAGTTTGGGCACATTCTGACCGAGCCTTAAAACCAGATTCTCCAGTGGGACAAAGACATTTGACTTTGTTTTGAAAAGATACAGGAATGTCTCTGTGGAATGAGGGAAGAAAGCAATTTGGAGAAAAAACACTCAATTCAAGCATTTATTTCCTCATATTTGATCATTTTTGCAGTGCACATCTATCATCTGTATTAATACAAAGTGACTAAACTAATGAAGTGTGTTGCTCAAAGGCACAAGAGCAGATGGCTGTGAACCTGAACCTAATGGAATCAAGTCAATTATGGAAAAATGTCAGAATCAGAATTAGTTTTATAGTCAGTAACAGGAAGTCACAAACCAGGACATGACTATGGTACGTGGTGCAGACAAATGTGAACATGAGCCTAGGTCTATGAGCCTAATGGTCGTGGGTTCGATTCCCCCCACAAGACCTACTCCAACCCACTGAAGTCTACTGTCACTATGAGCTCTGATTAACCCAGAGTGGCTGAGTGGTTAGTCATCACATCGGGGCCTATCTGAGTGGAGTTTGCATGTTCTCCCCATGTGTAAGCAGGTTTCCTCCAGGTGCTCCAGTTTCCCATACCACTAAAAACAATGTAATGAGTGAGTGGCTTTGATGCCCCAAACCAACCAACGCCAGTGTCTCGCTTTCGTAATATCCAGAAAGTGTTTTGCAGTTTTCCAGTTTTATCTTTGTACTCTCACTTCTCAGCAAGAAGGTCCTAGGTTCGAATCCCTGTCGGAACAGGGTCTTTCAGAGTGGAGTTTGCATATTCTCCGTGTGTCTGCGTAGGTTTCCTCCAAGTGCCCTGATTTCCCCTACCACTAAAAACATGTACAATAGGTCTGAATGTAAATGAGTGAGTGAATGGAGGGTGTTTGGTCGGAGGCTTTGATGGACCAGTGTGTTCTGGTCTCGCTTCTGTCATCACCATGTGGAGAGAATGGAACAGTATCTGAACTTTGTGAAGGGCTTTGGGTGACTTTGGTCTGTAAACATGTGTTATATACAGTAAATGGTATGGTATGTATTTTATTTGAACAATTAGACATTAACACAAGGGAGAGACGCTATAGCAAAGATGCTAATTTCCACCTGTAGGTTCTGGGCTAATGTTGTATTCATAAAATCAATAATAATGAACAACAATATTCACTTGATTACTTTAAAATTCTGCATACTCGTCTCCCAAACTAAATCCCCATCGGTCTAAAAAGCATCTCTGGAATCAGCAATAGCTCCAATGGCCGCTGTCTTTCTCAGCACGAGTTTAGCAAACACGCTAACACGCTGAAAGCAGATTAGCCTGTATCTTTCTGCCCTCGTCAGACGTCTGTATCTAAGCAAACCGGAGCGACATGAAAAATGGATGAGCTTCTCCCCCTCCTCCTCCTCCTCCTCCTCCTCTTCCTCCTCCGACTCTGGACCGATCATGCGTAACTGCTTTATATTTATTTTCCAGTCGAGGGAATGAAGGACATAGTTTTCTTTCTATTTTTCAACTTGAACACAACAAATGGGGGGAATAAAGGAGAAAGGATTGAGGCGGTTTGAGATCACAGGACCGTGAGCTTTGTAAACAGACGGTCAGACTTCACACCTGGAGCCGCCGGGATTCTCACCGAGAGACGGAAACCACGTCGGTTTGAAACGCAATTAAGCAGTTTGTGACATTTTATACACACACAGGGCCAGGACAGGGTTTTTCTGAATGCAGTTATTTTGCGTTTTCTCCCTGTGTCTGAATGAAGTAATGTCACGGTATTGTTTTTAAATATATCAGGAAGTGCGTGAGATCCAAGATGTATAACAGTGACGTTTTGTGTGGTTGACTTTTGTGCTGTTTTTTCCGTTGTGTTCTCCTCAGACATCAAAGAACAATTTTTTCCACATGAAGTTGTCAGTGGTGTAACATCTGCGTAGGTTTTGTGATGTTTTATTGTGTTATTGATAGCTTCTCATAAAGTACTGCTCCGTGAGGAATCGTTAAATCCATTCATAATTACAGTTGCACTCCTGAACTGCACTAACATTCCCACGTTACAACCATGTGTTCAGTTAATGTCTATGTAAATATATATGTGTCGTACATTAGACTTAGAGGCTTATAAAGATTCTATTCTGTTTAGACCAATCATTCATTCAATTACTATCTTTCCCTTTTTAGTAGTCCATTTCTGTGTTGGGGGGTGACAATCGGAGCTGTAGCCAATGCTGATAGCACCAGTCCCTCTGATTCTGCTGCAGGTGGTTGGTTCACGGGAGGATGGCTGCTCCGACAGCGATGACACAGGCTTGATCTTTCAGCGGGGGCTTTGGTCAAAGTGGGGTTAAGTGTGTTGCCCAAGGACACAACAGCAGCAGATATCAGTGGGAGCAGGTCTTGTGGTGGGATCGAACTGAGCTACTGTTGCCCCAGGAGCCTAATGTCAGAGTGGATTTAGCAAAAAGCTGTCATCAGAACCTACTTTTACTATGGCCCTTTAATTGTAATCATAATCTTCACAGAACATACTATTCTGTCTTATTTGATGTCTGTCTTTGCGTCTCAAGCAAAGAAATATCATGTGTCGGACAGTTATCGGACCCCGTCACACAAAAACGGGTCACGATCAAGACGTTTGACTCTTTAAGCTTAAAATCCAACCAAGCTTTGGTCACATCTGGGCATAACGAGCATTTTGGTTGCCAGTTCCTTTGGTTGCCAGGTTCTGTGTGTGTGTGAGAGACTTGGGAGGACTCTGGGGAAACAAAGAATTCAAATTTGTATTGTGTTGTAAATCCAGTAAAAGCAAAATCTACACATTCAAGCTAACACTGGGTTTACTGCAGTGTTTTTCAACCCGTGGGTCGTGGTATCTTGGAGGGCCTTGAGGTGTTGGTTGCTGAGCTTTTGGAAATTACCTAATATCACTTTATTGGTCAAAATGTGGGAATGGGAAATTATGTGAGAAGATTAGAAAAACCTTTTAGCTCTTGTTGGATTTTCTAAATGATACACTTTGACGAGAAATGATTTTAAATAGTGAATAAAGTTTACAGAGTTTTAAGTCTAGTATCCGTTTCAGCTGGTGATGTGCCATGGTTCAAAAAGGTTGGGGACCACTGGTTTACTGTAGGAGCTGTACTGTTTAAAACTCAATGTTGTGTTTTCCAAAAATAAAATAATGTTTTATCCATCAAATAAGTTAAATGAATGGGAAATATCTGCAAGACGTTGTAACCCCACCTCTGTGTTATATATTTCTTATGTATTATAGACATACAGTATATATTGATTCTATAACTACCACACAGGTATGTAACTGCCAACATAATATTACAGTGTTATAATATTTTTTAAACAATTAGCGATAGCATTGTGTACAAGAACAGTAGTTGCTAATGTATTAATCTGTTGTTATTCTGTCAATATTGTCCAAACAAGTAGAGCTCCACAGGGAAAGGGAAAAGGTCTGGTGATAATCTGTAAATACCATGTCGTGTGTGTACATTGGCCACGGTCCCAGGTTCTTTTCCCGCTGTATCCTCGGAAATTCCCAGCTGTGTTTTGGCTCCGAGCCGACGGAAAGAGAGAGGAATAAATGGCGTAGGATTCGTCTGAGCAGGAGCAGAGGAAGATTGACCTTTGTCTAATCACATTATGTTTGATGTGAGGCTGGACTCAAACTCAAAAATCACATTCCAGAGACTTAGGACGAGTAAAACACACTGAAAGTTCACTCAAAATACCTAGAAATATTCACAAAGGACAGATTATGTGACTAAGTGTGTGACTTTGGAAGACTCAGGTCCAATTAGTACATTTTCCAAGCAATACAACACGGACGATACAAAATCCTTACTATTTTTCAGCGTTGCTCCCAAACTGGTCTGACCACTTGGGTCCCAGTGAGCAGAGGGAGCTACAGAGGCCTCACTTTGGCTTTTCATTCAGGCTTTAATATTGAGTGCTACAGCACAGAATGTATACCTAGATTCAAGCATTTATTACCTCATATTTTATCATTTTTTGTAGTTAAGACACACCAATTTTAGGACTCGTGCTTTAAACCTGCTATGAATATCAGTTTCAATTTAGTTTATTTTAAAAGGGACGATAACATTTAACAAAACACATAATTAATCATGAGTAAAAAAAATCCAGAATTAACCAAACGTGGATCCAAAATCACATTCCAGAGACTTATGACGAGTAAAACAACACTGAAAGTTCACTCAAAACACCTGGAAATATTCACAAATAACTAAAGATTCAGGTCCCATTAGTACATTTACAAAGTCAAAAAATTTGGACAATACATAAACCTTACTACTTTTCAGCGTTGCTCCCAAACCGGTCTTTGGGTCCCAGTGAGCAGAGGGATCTTACAGAGGCATCACTTTTTCAAACTTTGGAACTACAAATTGTGAGTAAACTTGCCTGAACTAGCATACATCACCAAAGAGGCTATTTTTCATCAGTAGTCCTCTGGCCGTGATGTTAAAAAGACAATAAAATACTGAAGAAGATGACAAAGTCTGGGATCGTGTCTTTAATTCAGACAGAAAACATGTTTAATTGTCGTTGGTAGAGACAGCATGAACACGAACAAAAAATGTTACAGACTGCAAGTGATAATATAGGAAAGGAGTCCTCCAATCAGCGTTTGCCACAGTGCCAGTAGCTTCAACCTTGAGACACCAAAACATGCTCTGGATAAGTACTGGCTTCTGTATATTGTTGAATGATGAGTTAAAACTTTAACCACAGTTGCTTCAGAGTGTCATGGAAATACATAAAGCTGCACTAACTCACTTTGTGAAATTTTCAAATGTGATTTTCTGCCCGCCCTCCCCGCACTCATGAAGCTACCCCCCCCCACAACCCCCCCCCACTCAGCTGCTTATGTGTTTATGTGTGAGAGCTCCAGTCTCACAATATGGATCGCACATTTGAACGTGGATGGCGTGACCATAGAATGATTGAACCGGGAAGTGCGGAGGAACAAGACTTTCTTTTGGCTGTTTCGCTGAGTAAGCAGAAACGGGTAACGAAGACACGGGAAGTTTCAGGCTAGCCTCCGCCACTTATTTACCTCAGCTGTCTGTGCTAACAAGAGACCTGTAGCTTTTCTCAAGAAAGCGGGGGCCAGTGGTCTGCTGTGATTGGTCACAATCTGGTCCCAAAACAAATTATCTTCCTGGTTTCACGAAAATTAAATCTAAAATAAAATGACACGCCAGCACACAACTGCGCTACTTTTTCTTCAAAAGGACGTATATCCCAATGCATTGCATGGATATGGATTGAATTTTTGTAACGAATACAAAAATAAGGTAATGCAGCTTTAACATAACAAAAATACCAGACAGAGCCACATACATCCAGCCTCCTCTTCTCTATTTCTAGAGTGAACCCAGATCATGTGACGTATTCCCCAAATACACACATCACATTCTCCTCGATGGGACTGCCTTGTTCTAACTCATGTTTTAGCCGCGGCCGCAGTTAGAGAACCTCACGTCGGGTTGTAATTCCCGACTTCTTCAGATCAGACAGGAGCCTTTGATCATGGGTTCGGCGCTGAACCCGTGGACAGCGCTCGGGTCCTGATGGATGATTACACAGAATGGATGGTCTCGAGGCTGGCTCCAGGTAAAGCTCTGCTCGCTGTCAATACCGTCGTCACTCACATCCGCCGCAACCATTCCCCGTCTCTGAGAAGGAAGGAGCGAGATGTTCAAAATGTGTCGGTCGAGTTTATAGAAGGAAAGGGTTTAAAAATGTGTAAACAAGGAATGGATATTGAATTGTTTTAGATGAATGTGGCCAGAAGTCTCCCAACCTCATTGATGTTTTTGATCAATCTGGAAGGAGCTGATTGACAAAACCTTGACTTTCAATTATTTTAGTCGTTTTACTTCCATCCCAGACTTCCCCTGTCCCTGTGCTTCCCCCGTCCCTGTGCTTCTCTGCCTCCAGTTTAAGGGAATACAGAGGTCTGGAAGAAAGAAAATTACTGTATTGACTTTATTATATACTATTTATTCATTTGATGACTGATGGATAAAGCTGTATATTTTAGTCTCTGTTTTCGGAGAGATTTTTGTTTTCATGAAACAAGGGTTGGTTTGTTATGTTATTTTTACTTTTTGCTGTTGGTATTTGATGAAATGAAAGAAAAGTGCTTTAGTGAATGCTCCTGCTGTCATGGCGCAGACTTTTGGATCACTTATACCTTTTATTTTGATCTTTTGGTTCTTTTCAGTGTTTCTGTTTGTTCAGTTGATGGCATGTCCCGCCCTGATGTGTGTCCCTGTGTGTATTCAGACCCTATGCTCCTTTGGTTGTGTGTCCCTGTGTGTATTCAGACCCTATGCTCCTCTGGTTGTGTGTCCCTGTGTGTATTCAGACCCTATGCTCCTCCGGTTGTGTGTATTCAGACCCTGTGCTCCTCCAGTTGTGTGTCCTCTCCTCTTGTTGTTGGTCCATTGTGTTTTTGTCCATGTTTTTCGTCTAATGAATCTGTCTAATCTAATTATGACCATGAACTTTTCCCTGTAGCCAGTAACACACACTGCAAAAAATGATACAATCTGAGTTAATAATGGCTTGAGTCGAGGACTGTTTATCTTAATCTGACACATTTTGACTGCAACAAGAATCTCTCGTGAGACAGAGATAATTAAGAATCTTTTTGCCAAATTTGACCAATTTTTACTTATTTTTCCTCCTTTTAACAGTGCATTATCATTCCACGCTGCAATTGTAATGTCGTCTTGACATAAATGAAACGCCACCACAAGTACCGAACAAGAGCTGGTGGTTTATTGTACATGCTCGTATATGAGAACAGTCCACAAGATCCCGCAGTACATCTCGCGTTGGTATATGGTGCCTTCACAGACCACATAGTGTGGGAAATAACAACACCATTCATTACATCTCCCCCTCTTTTGAGAAAGTAATGGCCATATTACTAATAGTCTTTCCACCCAGTCTCTGTAAACGCATAACTCCAGTGCAAACAACAGTTATGAAAATTATACACCATAATGCTTTAACATGTTAATATTCATGACTCAAAGAGCATTGTTTAGTTTGCTTTTCTTACTTTTTTTTTTTTTTTTTTTCACCAAACATCTATTTCCTTTCTCTTTTCTTTTCATTTATCTGAACATAACATGAACATTTCTTCCAAAATACCTATAAGTCTAACTTAGGCGACGACTTACTCACTCGGCCTGAACGAGTGATTGTAACCGTCCCTGTCTTTGGTGGTAATGACTCGACACTCTTACTGCCGACATCGCTGCTCACGGGCAGAGGATCATCCGGTGACCCGCTGGGGTTTGGATTCTTAGAAGCAGCGGGCAGTCGCAATAGGTGACGGCGGTTACGTCTGTAACAACCTCCCTCCGGCGTTACCACAACGTATGACCTAGGGGTAGAACAGTTACCTTGTACCGTTCCTTGTGTAGTCCATTGTTTCTCATTGTCCAACTTCATCAGGACCCCTTCTCCAGGGTCCAGTGGTGGTAAGTGTCGAACACCATTCCTGCGATTGTAGTAGAATGCTTGTTTCAGCTTAGCCGCAGCATCCGCAGAGCGCATCTCCTTCCTATCTGGCCAGCTCGGATCCAGGTTAGCAGACAGGGTGGGCAAGCGTGGTTCTGATCTTGCGGCCCATCAGCAGCTCTGCTGGGCTGAAGCCTGTAGAAGTGGTAGGAGTGCTCCTATAAACCAGAAGAGCCAGGAGGGGGTTTTCCTGCTTAAGGATCCCTTTTGCTATCTGCACTGCCCTTTCTGCATGTCCGTTACTTTGAGCGTAATGCGGACTGGAGGTGGTGTGGACGAAATCAAACTCTCTGCTAAACCTTCTGAACTCTTCTGAAGAAAACTGAGGCCCATTATCACTAATAAGCTCCTCTGGAACCCCAAATCTAGCAAAAGTGGCCGCTAGCTTGCCTATAACCTGTGTGGTTGTGGCTGTTGGTAAGTTCAGAATCTCAAGGTAACGAGAGTAATAATCAGAAGCTACCAAGTAGGTTTGCTTGTTGTACTCGCATAAGTCTACACCCACTTTTTGCCATGGTCTATCTGGCAGCACTGTAGACATGAGTGGCTCTTTAATCTGAGTGTGTCTGTTAGTATTACAAAAATCACACTGCGCAACTTTGGCATTTATGTCTTTTGACATCCCTGGCCACCACACTGACTGTTTGGCTCGCTCTCTGCACTTCACTAAGCCTTGGTGACCATCATGAATTCTCTCTATCATCTCAGATCTCAAGGTGGTGGGAATGACTATACGGCTTCCCCTTACAACCAACCCGTCTACAACTGACAGTTCACCCCGCACTTTGTAAAACCCTCTAACACCCTCCGGGACCCGTCTTTCATACTCTGACCAACCCGTCTGAGTGAGCTGTTTCACTAACTGTAACTCGGGGTCTTGGATAGTGTGGTCTCTTATCTGCTGTAGTTTCCGGGGGGTGGCTGGTAAGTGGCTGAGGACTGCTCCGATGTGCACGGTCACGTCCTCTTCAAGGTGCTCGTCTCCGGTCTGTTCCAGTGGACCCCTGGACAGCGCGTCTGCCACTGCCAAGGTCTTGCCAGGTGCGTACACTGCTTCTGCATTAAAACGCATCAGTCTCATCAGTAGTCTCTGACACCTTAGTGGGACATTGTCCAAGTCCTTGTTGTTCATTAAAGGCACTAAGGGCTTGTGGTCAGTGATCAATGTGAAAGTCTCTAGTCCAATCAGGTATTTCTCAAAGCGCTCACAGGCCCAGACGCTCGCCAGGCATTCCTTCTCTATTTGCGCGTACCTGGTTTCCGGATCACGAAGTCTCCTGGAGCAATATGCGACCGGCTTCCAATCTTCTCCATGTTGCTGTAGGAGAACTCCCCCAAGCCCATAGCTGCTGGCGTCAGTCGACACCTTTGTGGGCTTGTTGGCATCATAGAAGGTAAGTACAGGTGCAGATGCCAGGGCAGATTTCAATCTTCGGAAGGAGGACTCCTGCGCTGGACCCCACTGCCACTCAGATTTGGTTTTGAGCAGTTCATAAAGTGGTTGTCCAACTGTAGACATCTCCGGAACAAACTTGGCTAGGTAATTTACCATACCAATAAAGCGTCTCAGTTCAGCGACATTCTGGGGTTTCGGGAAATTTTCTATCCCCTCTACTTTTGCTGGGTCTGGTTTCACCCCATTCTCATCAATGATGTGCCCCAGAAACCTGATTTGTCTCTGTTTGAATTTACACTTGCCTTCGTTCAGTTTCAGACCAGCTGCCTCAATCACTTTCAGGACCTGCTCCAAACGCTTGTCGTGTTCCTCTTCAGTGTCTCCATGGACCAAGATGTCGTCCATATACACCTCTGTACCTTCCAGCCCCTGCAGTGTCTCTGCCATCTTGCGCTGAAATATCTCCGGGGCGCTCGATATCCCAAATGGCAGTCTGCAAAACGCATATCTCCCAAAGGGAGTAATGAAGGTGGTGAGTTTACGACTGTCTTTATGTAGTGGGATTTGGTAGAACCCACTAGCAGCATCCAGGGACGTGAACACTTTGGATCCTGAGAGTCTTGGCATTATCTCCTCCACTGTAGGTAACACATATTTCTCTCGTGCTACTGCTTTGTTCAGTTTTCTTAAGTCAGCACAGCATCTTACCTCAATTTTATTGGGTTTTAGTACTGGCACCATTGCAGCGCACCATTCAGTGGGCTCGGTTACTTTCTCAACGATGCCCTCTGTCTCTAGCCTTTGTAGCTCCTTTTTAACAAGTGGCATTAGTGGTAGCGGGACTCGTCTAGCCACATGGACCGCATATGGCTGTGCATTGTCTTTAAGCAGTATTTTCGCAGGTTCAGTCTTCAACAAGCCGCTGGTTCCGAACACAGCGCTGACCTCCTCTACTCTCTTAACTAGACCCATCTTCACCGCTTCTATGCGGTTGAGCAGGCAGCTGTTTCCTTTTATCACATATACTGGAAATGTGTAGCTTTCTCCTTTGTATTCTGTGTTAGCTTCAAACATCCCAAAACACTTGAGTGGACCTCCAGGCCCCGAGAAGGGTGTACTAGTAGGGGTCAGTTTGTATTTCTTTGTGAGTAGACTGAATGTTTTGTCTCCGATGATACTTGCATCTGCCCCTGTGTCTATTTTGAATGCCAGGGGAACTTGGGCAATATCTAATGTGACAGTCCATTTATCTGGGTTTGCTGGGCCAGTAACTTCACCTAAGAACTGGTACTGGGTGGTTTCCCTTAGTTCATTGACAACTTTCGTACGGCATACACGAGCCCAATGCCCCTTTTTGTTGCACTTTTTGCAAAAACTTTTAGCAGCTGGGCATTTTCTTTTATCATAGTGCTGTGTGCCGCACCTACCGCAGTCTGGGGACTCTCTTTCAGTGTGTGGGGTGTGCTTTTTGTGTAGTACTTTGCGACGTCCTCCTGCAGAAACGCTTGCCACTTGCATCTCCGGCTGGGGACCGCTAGCTTGGAGGCTAATCTGTTTAGCAACCTCTTCTGACTGTCGTACTTGCTGTATAACATGAGCCAGCGTCAGATCTGCTGTGAGCTGCAATTTCAGAGACAATTCTTTGTCTTTAATGCCCACTACGAGTCTATCACGGATGTGTTCATCCCCGCTTATCGCTAAAATCACAGTTCTCCGCTAGCTCGTACAGCACCCTTATGTACGCCTCTGCCTTTTCCCCTTGCAGTTGGTTACGTTGGTAGAAACACGCTCTCTCGTGTATTACGTTGCGTCTGGGTATGAAGTACTCATCCAACTTTGAGAGAACCCCTTCGTAATTCTTCTTATCGTCTTCCGTAGCAAACTCGAACGAGGCGAAGATTTTCTCTGCTTCGCTGCCCATCGCGTAGATAAGTGAGCAGACTTGAACCTCGCCATTTTCTTTGTTCAGTTTTGTGGCCAGCCTGTAGCGTGCGAACCTCTGTTTCCACTCCGGCCATTCTCCCGGGCTCGTGAAGTTAAACTCCGACGGAGGATTAAACTTGGACATATCGGCTCGTTAAAGTATTGCACCGCTTCTGACACCATGTAATGTCGTCTTGACATAAATGAAACGCCACCACAAGTACCGAACAAGAGCTGGTGGTTTATTGTACATGCTCGTATATGAGAACAGTCCACAAGATCCCGCAGTACATCTCGCGTTGGTATATGGTGCCTTCACAGACCACATAGTGTGGGAAATAACAACACCATTCATTACAGCAATCATTTCAAAATATCCGTATAATTGAACTTACATCATCATCGCGGTCGTTTCTAGCCCCGCCCCATGTTCACTCGTCTCTTCCCCTTCACCCGACCCACGCTCTCCCCTGAATCCTCCCCCAGTATTTTCTTCTATTCTGTTGGTGGCTAAGGCCCGGCAGCTCCTCCAGTATTCACCGCGGATGGAAACCCGCCTGGAATACTGATGCTGGGCTGTTTCAGAGCAGCCAGAGGTGGTTGGAGTCTTGTCTAAGCAAGAATGAAGAGCGTGTGGTTGTTTTTCAGCGGCTTCGTGAAAGAAAAGTGCTTCAGCTTTGACCTGGAAATGTAAAGTTTGTCATGCGCAGGTTATTACGCTGCAAAAAATGATGATATAAGAAGGAATACATGTTTAAATCAAGTGGTTATTAGCTTCATCTGAGCACATTCAAAGCCATTTAGCCTCTGCTGCTTGATTTTCTCATTCCAATTGAGACATTTCTTGTATATTTTTAGAACAAGACCATTTTGTTATGTCCCATCTGTAAATCTTGTTTCCATGCAGTCACAAATTAAGACACAGTTTACCAAATTTAAGCAGGTTTTGACTTATTTGTCCTCCCGTTTTGCAGTGTAGATGTGGTGGATCCATTATGATTCCCGCTGTGTTGCCAGGTCCAGTCCAAAGGCAACCCACTGAACCCAGCACCTCCCTTTTTCCGGACTGTGCCGGTGAATGGATATGTGTGGATTACTGAATGTGTCTTGGATCTTTAGTTCTGAGTGCTTTGAACGACGGAAAATCATGTTTAAAAAATGTTTTTGCGACTGTTACATACTGTATGTTCATGCCCAATTATCTGTGTACATGGGGATGCTATGGACAGGACGCAGGGATAGTCTCTTGTTTCTGTTTTTATTTAGGAAAATAAAAATCCAGACAATCAACAGAAATAGTTTTTGAGAAAACAGATCAAAGGCTTTAGGCTCCACCCCCTTTTTACAAGAACATTATCAATGCATTTTTTTTGTATCTTTTGAAAACAAGACATTATTGCTTAGTCCCTTTGGCAAATATATTTTTTTAGAGGCTCAAATTAAGATAAAAACACTTGATTTCGGAATGGCAAGTTTATTTGTAAAGCACACTTCATACACAAAGGATCTCAAAGTGCTGAACAAAACAAGACAGCATTAAAACGTAAATAATGACAGTACTTTAAAAAGAAAGATAAAAATAGCACGGATTAACAGAACTGTTTTTAACCTGGATTTAAACATTGTCGGAGAAGAAGCCTATCTCACATTTTCAGGAAGACTAGGAAGCAGATTTAAGCCTTATTTTTAACAGTGTAGTGCTTTCCCTCACACATGTTAAAGTCCGTCAATGCGGCGGAATACACAAAGCTACGAGACATGTGTTGTAAACGGTGGAGAATGAACCGTGGCGTGATCGGTCGGTTTGATGGACACGGCTTTAATGTCCTCAAGGCCGAGAAGTCCCGTCGCCGTCTGTGATGTCGCACTGTAAACATTGTGATGGAGGTGACGCCGGGGTCGGGTTCAGGGCCGGGGTCGTCTTGCCACAAAGACCGCAATGATTTACCGTCAGTGAAACCAGGAAGAGACCGATGCGGACGAGAAAGGACAAATAAACTTTGTATGTTTATTTGATAGGGACAGAATAAATAGCATTGTAACATGTTCATAGCCTGAAAGCTAACAGCTAATTCACAGAGCAGGTCCGAAGATATAAAAATATGTGACATGAAAATAAGTATAATAATGCTTAAAATAATAAAAATCTGGAAATAGAAGAAGAAAATATGACTTTACATTTCTGAAAATAATAAAATCACAAGGATTGACTCAAAAGAAAAGATCAATTGACTACTTTTGTTTTACAGTTCAGGTCTGTTTGGACAAAGAAATCGAAACAAAATGGAGCATCAGCAAAATACACACACACACAACACACACACACCTACACACACACATACCTACACCCACACATACAACCTACACACGCACAAATACAGCCAGCACGCAACATACACATACCTATACACACACACACACACCTACACACGCACAGACACACACCTACACACGCACAGACACACACCTACACACAGACATACACACACACACACACCGTTTACACGTTAAAAAATCTCCTGACAAACCTTCATTACGACGAGAGCCAATGGCCTCTGCAGCTGTAGCACTTTCACCAACTCTAGATTAAAGCTATTCTTCAAAACCCAAATATAATTCAGGCTCATGATGTCACACAATGCCGCCACAGCCGCCGCTACAGCCGCCACAGCCGCCACAGCCGCCGCCACAGCCGCCGCAGCCACCGCAGCCACCGCAGCCACAGCCGCAGCCGTCACAGCCGCCGCAAACGCCGCCGCCGCAAACGCCTCCATTTATCACAGCTCGCCCTCGTGCCCCATCACCACAGATTGGGAAACATATGTTCTCAACTCGCTGTCAATTGACGCAGCTACAGAAAAATCCTTGTATCTGTCGTTTATCATTGATTGGAAATGATAAAAACAGAGAAAAAGAGCCGGGATGAGGGTGTAGCGCCGCGGGGACGATGCATTATCCAGATCAATCCTGTTCGTTTTTAGATTTTGATTTTCACGGGACAATTTTCAACGCTCAGGAATCAAATTGGAAATGTCAATATGTGTTTCAGGGTTATTGATTCTGCAGGATCCCAGAAAGGAAACAGAAAACAGTAGGAAGACCGTGAGGGTTTGAAACGATTGACTCCAAATGTGAGGTTTTAAAATGGATATTTCAAAAGATTTCAAAACATTGAATAAAAACTATAGTGCTGGAACTCGATTAATTTTTGTTATCTAATTAATTAGAGGCTTTGTAATTAATTAATCGCATTCTAATCACATATAAATATTTGACCTGTGAACAGTGAGAAGTAATTTTTTTCACATGGATTTTTAGTTTACCATTGAATAAGGACTGAATACATGAGGCTTAAGCAACACATGTTCATTGAGGAGGATAATGGATCAGACTTTCCCATCCAATAACGTTTCTGTCATCGCCTCCACACACTCAGACAACAGACGCTTTTTATGCCCAAAATCCTCTGCACTCGTTTTTGATGTGTGCATTTGCACATCGGTAATAGCAGCTCACACCTGTGTCTCGCTACTCCTCCTTCGCCTCCTTCTCTCACAGACAGAAGTCGCTGCTCCTCCTCCTCCTCACACACTGAGTCTATCGCTCCACACACAGCGCTCTTTCCCGTCTCAATCTCACTCAGATTGAGACACCGCTAAAGTTGGTCTATGCTTGTAATAATCCACTTTTGAAAAAAAAAGGGTCACGGAGCTCAGTTGGTGCTCCAGTATAATCGGTCCGTCTGAAACTCATCCTGTGAGGAACGTTCCGCGGTGCAAAAACACGATACGATTAAAATGATTAAAAAAAATTTAACACGCTAATTTTTGTGCCGTTAATTATTTTCTTAATTTATCCGTTAAAGTCCCGGCCCTGATAAAAACATAAAAGCAAACAGTATTTAAGGACATTTACTAACATTTATGGACATTGGCCACGCCCCTCCCTATTGGCTCCTATACGTTTGTTATTATTGCACTTCCTTTGTTCAAACTGCATTCATAATGGTTAAGGGTAGTTAAGGGTTAGCGCATTTCTTCACATAATCATCCATTATAACCAGTGGCGTACAGTTGGTGATCGGAGGCACTGACTTCAGCCCAGTCAGATGAACATAAATATCATATAAATCAGCAGGACCTACAGAGCATATTCACGTTAGATTTGCCACAGCAGAATATGTTTCATCCATTGTTTGTTCATACAAAACACAAAAGTATGAAAAAGCACATTTAAAAGTGTGTTATGGTCTTACCTTAGTTCAAACCAGTTTCATGTTTAAGTCCAGATCATAGTGTGAACGCAGATATGTAAAAAAAAAAGTTTTAAAAAGTAATACAAACGGGGAGCCTCTTCCATAAACTCCTCGTGTTTCGCTGCAGCCAAATCTCGGGTGCATCCAATTTCTAAAATCAACCTTCTTCCCTTTCACCTCTTTCTTATCCTTCCTATCGTCATTGGAAGCATAAAATTACCCTATGTGCATTTTAAATTATCTTAAAATGTGTTATATGTATGTTATGTAAACCTGACGCTGCCCTGAGCAGAGGAAGAACAAGAAAGATGCTTTCTGATCACGTCACTGATTATAACTGAATGTTTTTATCATAGTTCATAGACTCAAATATCAACACAATATAAATGTTTTAAAAAGTGACCCTTGTTACATCGACTATGGCCTTTGTCTTGGCCTTTGTCTATGGCTTCAGGCAATGTGGGGTTAAGTGTCTTGCCCAGGGACACAACGACAGCAGACATCAGTGGGAGCAGGTGACATGCGTCATGGAGGGACCCAGAAATGGAATAATAAAGGGGATGAAAATGACCCTCGTTAAATGAAAAGAAAATGTCTTAGTTTAACACTTTCTGTCGACTTTAAAATGTGTGTAAAACTGAGACTCAGAGAAGTTCAAAGAGACTCCAAATTATGGAGAGAATGAAGCGATAGTGATTTCATTAAAAGCCCCAAAATGGCCTCTCTGCGCCTCAGGCTGTGATCACCTTTGTTGACACGTCAGAGCCTGGGATAATAAAGTCCAAGAACAGACGAACAAATGTCTCCGTTCAATCAAGGAAATATTTGTGAGATTATTAAAGTACCCGGAGTTTTAGAAAAGTGAAATGGAAAAGGACAAAGAGACACGTTGGAGGAGAGTTGAAAGCTGTGATTCATTTGGATTGTTCTGGGCTTTTGTGTGATGTCACATTTTTGCAGACGGTTTGTATTTATCCAAAATAACTTTATGTGTTTTGAGAAATCTCACTCAACACATAATGATTACATGTTGGAAAACCTCATGTGTTTGTTAATAATTGTTTTTCTATGGTTTGTCTGTAGTTTACACTCAACAAATGGTATTTACAATCCAACTTCTGTTCCTAGACTCTTCCCGCTTGTAAGGGTCAAAGCAGGGCAGGGCCTGGTTAGTGCTGTGATGGGAGACCTCTGGGAACAGCAGGTGCTACAGTGGGGAGGCTGCGGCTGTAAAGTGCCAAACTGTGGTTGTGTCCTTTGGCAAGACACTTCCCCCACATTAGAATGAGTCTGGTGTGTGTGTGAATGGTTGGTGGTGGTGGGAGGGGCTTCTGTCAATGCGCCCCAGGGCAGCTGTGGCTACAGTAGTAGTTTATCACCAATGTGTTTGGAGAGAAAGAATGATGATGTGAAGAGACTTTGAGAGTACAGAAAAGTGCTGTATAAAACTGATGCATTATGTTAAGTTAAAAAAACAATAAATCACATACCGAACAAATCCAATAATCCAGTGTCCAAACCAGGGCCCGGGGGCCAATTGCGGCCCTTTGTCTCACTGACCCAAAATGAGTCTTTAACATCATTAAGTTCACAGTGTAATGTTGTTCCTGGTTGTGAAGATCAGTTTCTCTGGAATCCGTTGACTTTCTTTGACCAAACTGATATTTATTTGTGCTTGTGTGGCACTAATGTATCTGGTGTCATTCAGCCAACTTCAGCTCTGTCAAAGATGAACCAATATAGACATTTCACACCTAATCTTAAAGCTCAAAACAGCCTTAATCCAGTTATTGTCAGCTTCTGGGCATTTTGGGTGAACCAAAGTGGCCTCTTACTAAAAAGTTTGGACACCCCTGCAATCATCGATAAATGAAATGATTAACTTGATTGTGATTGATTGGTGCACGGCTCACACCAATCACAACTGCAGATGAGCCGCTGTGTGGATGGCTCTGGAAGATCTTCGACACCATCCAAGATTCCAATTATTCCATTCACTCTTTTCTTTTTCTTCTTCTTCTTCTCCTACTTCTTCTCCTTCCTCTCCTTCTCCTTCTTCTTCTCATTTTTCCTCTCCTCATCCTTCTTCTTCCTCTCCTTCTTCTTCTTCTCCGGCTTCTTCTCCTCATTCTTCTTCTCCTTTTTCTTCTTCTTCTTCTACTTCTCCTTCTCCTCCTCCTCCTTCTCTTCTTCTTCTTCTTCTCTTCCCCTTCTCCTCCTCCTTCTTCTCCTACTTCTTCTCCTTCCTCTCCTTCTTCTTCTCCTCCTTCTTCTCCTCATCCTCCTCCTCCTTCTTCTCCTTCTCTTCTTCTTCTCCTTCTTCTACCTCTTCTTCTTCTTCTTCCTCTTCTTCTTCTACTTCTTCTTCCTCTTCTTCTTCTACTTCTTCTTCCTCTTCTTCTTCTCCTTCTTATTCCTCTTCTTCTCCTTCTTTTTCTTCTTCTTCTCCTTCTTCCTCTTTTTCTTCTCCTCCTTCTTTTTCTTCTTCTTCTCTGTAGCTAGCCCCCTCCCCGCCTGCCCCCACCGTCCTCTCTTGTTGCTGAATGCATGAACCTTCCTCAGATGCTGCAGCGTTGGTATTTGTTGCTATAATAAGGCACATTGCTGCTCAGCGCTGCCGTAGTCTCGGGTCCAGGCCACACGGCACTGACCTCGGTAAATGACTTCCCACAAACACCAAACCTCCTCCTTCTCCATTACAGACCTGGGATTGTGCAGGAGCCGTGCAGCCTCATCTGCGGGTAAATCAGAGCTGGATTGGGGTCAGAGAGCTCCCAGAGTGTGAGCCTCAGCCGGGAAAACCTGGGAATGATGCAATTAATGTGGAATTTGAAAGAGAATTATAAGTTGGTTTTTGATGATTTAAAAGTGACATTTCTAAACGTCTTAAAGGTTCACGGTGTAGTTTTTACTCCAATCTAGCTCTGAGATAATATAATGTAATCTACAGTACTACGGAAGCCTTAGTAGGACAGTATCTCAATCTCCTTTTTGTCCCTTATCAGCCACTGTATTTCAAGATGGAGCATTCACACAGAGAGTCCTCAGCCTCATGGACATTTATAAGTCACATTCTAAGTCTATAACAATCCAAAAACATGGTGGAGGTAAATATTCTTAAAAAGGTCTCATTTGTTATTATTATTTTTATCATTTTAATTCATTTGGAGCAACTGTAAAAATTACCTTAAACAGTGTTATCCTTTTAAATTACATCTACATTGTTTGTATGTTTCTCTAAAAAACAGGTCAGCTTTTCGAGGCACAAGTTTACGTTATTTTTACTAAAAGAATTGTAATAATAATAATACATTTGCTTAAAACACCCAAGGACACTGTAAAAACATGGTTAAAACAGCACATTTAAAAACATTAGCTTTATTTAAAACCATAAACAACAAAACTGGACAAAGGTGTTTGTTTCTCAAAAAAATGCAATGTCCGTAATATTTGAGACAAATATACAGTAGGAACTCTTGTATTTATGATTTTTAAGCACATAATCCAATCAGAGCAGAATGAGTTTCACGTTTGGAACTCCGTTTTTTTAGAGCTAACACACAAATATCACCACTTGAAATTGTGTGTGTGTAATTACAAACCAGTGTCTAATGTATTCTTGGGTTTCATTAAACTGGCCTGTAGGGGGCGTATGAGCAGAGATGGGACAGTTTTGCTCCCATTGAAAACCATGTAAAGTCTGTTTTGGAGTCAAAAGGCTCTCCTCCTGTGCGGTGTACGGTTGTTGGAACAGTCTTAATCGGGGGACACTCAGTTCTAAGGGAGCACTAACAAACTTTCTCAAAAGAGTCTTGATTTCGGGCATTTGTGGAGAAAAAAAAACGAAGAAATTGCTGCGTTTCATTGGGGTGGCCTGCAGGGGGCGCTTATCTGGGAAAGTCTTGATCCACCTCGCCCGCCTCATTCCAGAGATATGAGACCACAGTTGGAACATGAACTAACTCTTGTCTTTCTCTCTCTTTGCGCGGTTGCTACAACCGTACACCGCACAAAAAGATGGCATTTTGACAGCGCTTCTTCTTCTACTATATCTCCCTGTATAAACCCAGCAGACTGCACCGCCAGGGTACGTCACGTCCTGTCCCACGTTGCCCTCATGTGAAACCCAAGAATTTCATAATTATATAAACCAGAAAATAGTTATTCCATTTCCTTCTAAATTTACCAACACACAGATTTTTCTTTTTCCCTATATACTTGTGCACTGCTGCCAAATCGTCCTTGTATCACCGGTTAAGACATCTGTGTTCAAACTTTGCATCAAAAACAAGGAAAACAACTGAATTCTGGTCCAAATCCTTCCGCAGATTGTTATGTGCTTTTGTAATGCTTTGTAACTCAGAGTGAGGGGGTCGGGAGAAGTGCAGGTGACTAATAACGAGCTGGTGCTAATTTGCGATTGTATTATTTGAACGGTGGACAAAAGGCCGAGGCAAAAGTGGCTGGAGCCGTGGGCCGCAGAGTGTTTTGTGCGGTGGAAGCGGCTGCGTGTGCGGTGCTTTGTAAGGACTTTTGTGTAATCACGGACAACACGCTGAACTCTGGACCACGGCGGCACAAAAGTTGTCGATGGTGATTTTCAGAGCCTCAAAAGAACTCAGGTTTATGTGGTTTAAGAAAGAATGAGGAGAAGTATTGAATTTGTGTTGTATTTATTCTACTGTGTCGTTTCATTATTCAGCTCCATGCGTCATTTTTCCCTTTGTTACAGAATAAATGTTGTTTAGGAAGGTTCATGTTGCCTTCTTAGTAGAAATGAAAGTATTTGGTTCTTCTGTACTTACTTACATATTGTACTTAACCAGATGATAACTCTGGGGCGACAGTAGCTCAGATGGTAGAGCACTGACTGGTCTTTGGACCCAATGGTTGTGGGTTTCGAGCCCACCGCGACCCATGTCACCTGCTGAAGTCTGCTGTCATTGTGTCCCTGGGCAAGACACTTAACCCCACATTGCCTGAAGCCCCCGCTGAAAGACCAAGGCCATCTAGTCTTCCCGTGGAACCACCACCTGCAGGAGGATCAGCGAGGCACATGGTGCAATGAGACTTGGGCAGCTCAGATTGTTGATAAAGGGGAAGAAAATGACATGACATGACAGATGATAACTCTGAGTCTGCTCAAATCTCATTGATAATAATTCAGTAGTTACTTTATCTTCATTCATTCATTTATTTTCAACCCCTTTATTAATCCATTTCTGGGTCGGGGGCTTGGCAATGAGAGCTGCCACACAATGCTCATAGCACCAGTCCTTCTGATCCTCTGCAGGGGGTCCACAGGAAGGTCACTTTTTATCTGTTGTTATTATTATGACTCCATTTTTACATATCCATTCATCTGATATTTTTGTCATTTACTAGTCACTTCACCTGCTGATTTTGTTACTGTTTTTTATTCTACTCATATTCTCTGCAGCTAAAGTACAATATGCACATCTGTAAATACCTCTGAACCAAGTACAACTAGATAGATACTTTATTGATCCCCGAAATTTAGGAGAAATAGGAGAAATTCATGTCCAGCAGCAGAAAACACATCCATAAAAACACATAAGTACATCAACTACAAGCTGTTCTAACTAACTACCGAACAATAGAGCATAATATTAGCATTCATTAACTTAGACAAATATTTAACAAAGTGTTTTACTCATTTCGATGTTCTTCAAACGACCAGTAGGGGGCGAACATATCTATTGTTTTAGTGCATTTATGACTCTGAGGCTGTGGTTTAAAGTGAGGTTTCAAACTCGTTGCATGTTTCCTTCTCATCGGGACTCACACTTCTCCAACTCCCACTGCAAACTTACCAATACGCCAACTTTACTGCAGACGGCTTCTATGGATTTGTGCGAATAACAAAGGACTAAAAACATGAATAATTGATATAAACAACGACAGTGATTTTTAGATAAACAAAACAATTAACCTTTTCAAACACCTTTTGTTTGAAAATGGCCTAATATTTAACATTTCAAGGCTTTTTGTTCGAGAAACAAGATAAACTACACTGTTCTCTCTGTTTAAATAGATCTATACTTTTGGTAAAACTTCAACAACTTTTAGTGGGAACCCAATTACACAATGGTTTAAAGCCTAATAGTCCATTTTCCTTGGATATTCCCCTCACAGATTACTCACACAGACACCCATATTTTGGTCAGTCCCACAACCATTACTTCAGACATGAGTTCTCCCATAGCCTGGAGCTTCCAAACGCTCGGTGCAGGTATCACAATGGGAGTAAAACGGGGAGTAAACCGGGAGTAATGGCCTTGGAGTGGCTTCTGAAGGAGACACATGCAGTGGACCATCCTCCCGGGACTCCCCCCTCTTATTGGAAGTTCCATGTCGGCCCACTTTCGATTTTTAGACTGATATGAGAGCGATGGAGAGCGTCCAAATGAAATGTACTGCCAAGAGGCTTCAGGAGCAGCGGGGGCCGAGGGGAGAGCAACTGTGGACACTCGGGCGATATGAAAAAGCTCTAAATAGATCCTTTCTGAGGTGAAATCCAATCTGTGTCCGTGCATTTAGCGCTACAGCTCGAGGCGGACTGGGATCATCAGCTGTCAATGTTGTTGCCATATCTACGGGTCTATCTTATGGACTAGATTGGTTGTTTAAAGAAGATATTCAATTCAATTAAATGAATTCAGGACACTTTAACATTCTACACCATGTATGGACCATCAACATTCATGGACATTGGTCTCTCCCTATGGTCCAATACAATACAATTGAAAATGTATTCTTGTATAGCCCTAAATCACAACAGAAGTCATCTCAGAGGAATTAATACCATGTGGTCTCTCTCTATGGTCCAATAGGAAAGGCAAGGCAAGGCAAATCTTTTATAAAGGACCATTCATACAGAAGCAACCCAGGGTGCTTTACAGGCACAGAGAGAACATTGGCAAACATTGGCATTGTCAAACTAATACCTTGTGGTCTCTCCCTATGGTCCAATACCATGTGGTCTCTCCCTATGGTCCAATACCATGTGGTCTCTCCCTATGGTCCAATACAATGTGGTCTCTCCCTATGGTCCAATACAATGTGGTCTCTCCCTATGGTCCAATACCATGTGGTCTCTCCCTATGGTCCAATACCATGTGGTCTCTCCCTATGGTCCAATACCATGTGGTCTCTCCCTATGGTCCAATACCATGAGTGTATTTTATGTGTCTTAACTGTTGATTCTCTGATCTGTGTTGGTGATTTCAATGGTTTTGTTAAGTCTCTGAGATGATGCTGTTGTGATTTAGGGAAATACAAGAATGAATTATATTGTCATTGTAGTTTATTATACCTCCAGACTATTTCAATCTGCAGGAATAGAACAAAACCCAAACTGAATTATGATGATAAATGTATGTAAAACTGCAAACACACAATTAACTCAAAACATACAATTATTATGTCACTTATTTGTGGTTGTACAAAATCCACATCACACATTTTTTTCCTCTAACTCAAATAAAATGAAAAAATGCCTTCCGGCCGTTTAAAAAGCCCACACCACAGTTCACCAATCGCATATTAAAATTCCTGACAAGGTCATTCAATAACTCGCAGCTCTAAATGAGTTACGGGGCAGCCCTGAGTCTGAGCCGGAGCTAATGTATTCCACACCTCTCGCTTTGAATTTGAAACGACACGCTCTCGATTCCTCCGACAGATCCATGGTTTGAAATGCGTGTGATTCCGGAGTCCGACGGTAAATGCGGCTGCGGATGTGACGGGGAAAAGCGGAGAAAAGACAGTGTAAATGGCATCTCTGTAATGGAACGGGATAATGGCTTCTGAACGAGAGGCAGAGGCAACATTTGTGACTCCAAACCCATTTGATAAAGAGGGGTCAGTGTCATTAGGCCTAATGTCTCTTTGCATTTACTCCCGGTCTGGGAAAAACACCTGCTTTTAGGCTGTTTGAAGAGAACACACAGGCTTATGTAACATGTGTATAATTCAGCTCAGGTAGCACCAAACTCAGGCCCACGGGCCAATTGCGGCCCTCTGTGACATTTTCTGTGGCCGTTCTGCTTTGCTTAAGCCTGCTTCACACGAGACAATTTTAAAATTGTCGGCCGATTTTCTTAACGTGAGAGACGCCACACACAGAGATAAAAAATCAAGGGTCTAACCACTTTGGTCGTACAGTGTGTGGTGCGCAGCCACACGGCAAAATCACGCAAACCACACACGAACCGATTTCCCCCCCGAGCATTCCCAGGCGGGAAGGAAATCTCACAAAATCTCTCAAGATCAAGCGTGACTTCAGAGTAGACAATCATGGAGGACAAAGAAGATGCAGTGGCGATAATTTGCAGGTTTTTTTTAACAGAGGAAGGGTGTTTTCAAGGGAAAAGGCAATGGTCAAAGAAATGGAGACAACACAAGCTCGGACTATATATATTTACGGTGTTTCCTCGCCGCCTCGTCTTCTGATTGGTTACAAGCTGCAGTCCACTGCAGCGTGCTCGTCTGTCCCCGACACCACACACAAAGAAAAACAGGGCAAAAACAATCCAACTTTTTGGATATCCCTGAGATCGGAGCAGCCCCAAAGTTCCACCACAAATGGAAAATACATCAGATTATTTTTTACAAAAATCGGAGCGTTCTTAAGATTGTCGTTAGGGGTAAATCGGCCTAATTATCCTGCCGTGTGAACCAGGCTTAACCCACTGTAGTCTTTGAAATCATAAACACTAGTTCACTGTGTCATCCATCCAACTTCAGCTCGGCCAATATAGACATGACATAACTTGTTTTTAAACTCAGTACGTCTGGAATTCTGTAGATTTGTGAGATGGTAAACGAGTGACATTCAGCCAACTTCAGCTCCGTTATAGATCGTTTTAAAGCTCAGAACAGCCCAATGTCAGTCAAGACAGTTTTTCAGTCCGTAATGTCGGCCCCTGGACTAGTCTGGTTAAGAAATTAATGAATTAATCAGAATCAGAATCAGAATCATTTTTATTGCCACGTAAGTAACAGGAGGTCACAGACTTGGAAATTGCTTTGGCTCAGTGCAACAGTCAAAAAGAGATAATAAAAATAAGAATAAAAAACACTTCTAAAGAATAAATTTAAATTTAAAATAGAGTTACAGTTACTATTTACAATATACAAGTGCACATGGTGCACACAATGTAAGGTGACAGCAGTACAGTGAAGTAAAGTGACGTATGATGGGCCGTAAAGTGACTTTATAAAGGGCGGGGGGAAAGGTTAAGAAGTGTTCAAGAGTCCAACAGCAAAGGGGAAGAAACTGTTCTCGTGGCGGGGGGTTCTAGTCTTGATGGACCGCAGCCTCCTGCCTGAGGGGAGTGGTTGGAATAGTCCATGTGCAGGGTGAGAGGGGTCGGCTGTGATACGACCAGCCCGGCCTCGAGCTCGGGCGTCGTACCATATAATACAAGAGGAATTAATGAATAAATACTTTGTTCTTGTTTGTCCTGGCTCAAAACAAAACAAGTGAGAAGAAGACTTTTAAACTCCCTGCCCTCTGTTTATTATTCTATATTATCTTTCCTTAAATTACCAAATGAGTCCATGAAGTTTACATTCAGTCCAGACATGAATCTGTGTGTTTTGAATCCGATATCCTGGATTTAACCGGAGTCCACGGAGAGTCAGTGGAAGGTCTGGATCTAAACATAGATGTTCAGCCTATAGTCCTTCTCTTTGTGCCTGTGTTCACATCCCATCTTCAGAAACAGAGCATCTGTCTTTTCAGAAAAACGAAACGGCCGGAGAGATAAAAGCCTGACCTTTGTAAGGGCTCAGTCATTCTGCGGCCGAAAGAGAACAATGTCAAAACACAGCAACACCATTGTCCCGTAGGCAGAGAACAGCACTTGTGTAGCACCTGTATGGCACATGTATAGCCCCTGTATAGTACCGGTATAGCCCCTATATGGTACCTGTATTGCACCTGTATAGCACCTGTATAGCCCCTGTATAGTACCTGTATAGCCCCTGTATGGCACATGTATAGCCCCTGCATAGTACCGGTTTAGCACCTGTATGGTACCTGTATTGCACCTGTATAGCCCCTGTATAGTACCTGTATTGCACCTGTATAGCCCCTGTATAGTACCTGTATAGCCCCTGTATAGCACCTGCATAGTACCTGTATTGCACCTCTATAGCACCTGTATAGCCCCTGTGTAAATCCTGTATAGCAGCTGTACAGTACAATATGACACATTTACTCACACACTGAGTTTGTACCATTTTTTGTGACACTGTGAAAAAGAAAAGGACATAAGCTCATGTATATATAGATATATACAAAAATAAATGCATCATTTGGTAATGCTTATAGTGTGAAAAATACGCGCTATGAAATCCTTGTTATAGTTGTGTCCATCAATTGTCATGTATTTTTCTTTTCAACATTATATTCATTACTAATAGTATTTTGTGTTTGTATTTGCCTGCCAGAAAAATGTCCCATAGAACTCAATGTAAACTAAAACAGACCTCAGCTGACCGAGAACCTGACCGAGAACCTGACAGAGAACCTGACAGAGAACTTGACAGAGAACCTGACCGAGAACCTGACCGAGAACCTGACAGAGAACCTGATAGAGAACCTGACCTAGAACCTGTCAGAGAACCTGTCAGAGAACCTGACCGAGAACCTGACCGAGAACCTGACCGAGAACCTGACCGAGAACCTGTCAGAGAACCTGTCAGAGAACCTGACAGAGAACCTGACCGAGAACCTGACCGAGAACCTGACCGAGAACCTGTCAGAGAACCTGTCAGAGAACCTGTCAGAGAACCTGACCGAGAACCTGACCGAGAACCTGACCGAGAACCTGACCGAGAACCTGACCGAGAACCTGTCAGAGAACCTGACGGAGAACCTGACGGAGAACCTGACGGAGAACCTGACGGAGAACCTGACAGAGAACCTGTCAGAGAACCTGTCAGAGAACCTGACCGAGAACCTTTCACAAAGGTAACATGTTTTGGTGACGTTAGTGTATCTTGTCCTGAACTTTTGTTTTGTCACCAATCTTTGCAGACTCAGGGTTAAAGGTCCAAATTACGGCCTGTGGGCCAAATGCGGCCCGCTTATGTCTAATGTGGCCCTCTGCTGCTCACACACATTAGCCCTTGAGGTACTTTTGCAGTGTCATCCAACCAACTTCAGCTCCAACACTATAGTCATGCTGCACTTCCTTTTAAAGCTCTGACCCTTTGGAATCCAGTCTCTGTATGTTTTTCATCCTGACATTTGTTTTTAGTTGTGTCATAAAAGTCTAAAGTCCAAATATGGCGCTAATGTAGCTTAGGTGTGAATCAAAATGGGCACAGACTTTATAAAGCTCAACACAAATCCAGTCAAAAGTGTTTTTTAGCCCCTGGACTAGTCTTGTTAACAAAAAATGGCCTCTTACTAAAAGTTTCGGGAAGGCCTTCACATCTGATCGGAATGCTTCAATTGTGTTTTGTCAACAGAAAAAGATTGTTATGTTTAATTGATCTAACAGGCAACACAAAAAGATCTGGAATCCAAAATAAATGCCAGTGAGATGCAGCTGTTGAGGAGTACATTAGACAGAACCACAAAAAGGTAATTTCATTTTTCTATTTTACATAATTCCCGGATTGCGAGAGTGATTTCCTTTCCGTTTTCCGTGCTGGAATAGGCCACATGCCGGTGCTGATGCCGGTGGTGAGGATGATTTATTCTCTGGCGCTGTCCGTGGTGCTGGTTTCGTTTTCCGAGCGCGTGTGTTGATAAGAGCAGAGCGGTGGGAGCAGTGCATGGGGCAGCGGGAGGTCAGTCGGTCACTGAGCATAGAGCTCCTCACATAAACCAAAGTGTTTTGACAGGAACACTCTCTCAGCACCGGCCCAGAATCAACAATGAAGGGCCGAGCGCCGCCGTTTCCGCCGACCACTCTTCACTCTGGTTTTCTGCCTCTCGGAGCCAAAGGGACGGCTTTCAAAATGATTTCTGGATGTGAGGGAAAATGACCCCAAACGACTGACTTGTTGTCCCCTCTCATGATCGTTCGCACAGAGGTGAACGATAACTGCGGCCTTTTTATTGAGTAACAATGTGCGATGTTTACTTATTCTTAACTTTTACAGATCTTGATCAAATGTACTTAAACCTGGAGTAAACTTTCTATTTTCATGAATATTACAGATGACAACCTTTCTACAGTGTGAGATAAACAGATGAAGTTTTTCATTTCATTTATTTTCATCTCATACATGCCAAGTTACAAGACTTAACCAAAGCAAGATACTCAAGGGCAATTTGTATAAGTACACTACAAAACAAAATAACAGTAATAATAAAAATAATACATTGTCTTGCTTCATGTACGAAAGGGAGAGGGAAGAAGTCTTTATTTTATCTTTTAACAAGTACAGACCACAAAAGGCTGTCTCCATCTTCTGGCAGGCATGTCCAAACTGTGGCCCGGGGGCCAATTGCGGCCCTCAGTGTGACTTTATGTGGTCCTCTGCCTCGCTAACCCACAGTAGTCTTTGAGATCATAAACACTACTTCTTTAAGCAGCCCTGGGAACACGCCTGATAGTGGGACAGTATTTATCACATATTGTATTATATTATATATATTTATCACATATATTTGTATATATTTATATTGTATATATTTATCGCATATTTGTTACTAGTGACACAGTAAGTGAATTTACAATGATACATAATGATCATGAATAATGCAACCTGAAATATTGAGCGTATATTCATTTCAAAATCCTTTGGTGAGCTACCTGGAAGGGGGTGGTGAGCTATCTGGAAGGGGGTGGCGAGCTACCTGGAAGGGGGTGGTGAGCTACCTGGAAGGAGGTGGCGAGCTATCTGGAAGGGGGTGGTGAGCTACCTGTAATGAGGTGGCGAGCTATCTGGAAGGGGGTGGCGAGCTATCTAGAAGGGGGTGGTGAGCTACTGGTGGCTCCCTAGCTACTGGTTGGGGACCCCTGTCCTAGATTGTTTGTATGTCTCTGGTTCTGCCACTTTAACCACTTCTGGTTTGATTTGTACTTTTTCTCGTCGTTTCTGCTTCTATAATTCTAATCTTAAAGGTGACATCTCCTTTGTACAGTACAGTCTCAGGCTCATTCCTCTCCTTTAGATTACTCACATCTAAAGTCAAAATCAATGCTCGGCCTCGAGGTCAGGGTTTTATCTGGACCAGAAATCTACTAAGAGCCTTTTATATTTGATAAAGTCTGTTCCCGGCAGATGCTTCCTGTCCGTCCGGAACCACCTGGAAAACAAGTGGGAAATGTGGAAGTGTGAAAAGATCTGAGTTCAATGATAGACACAGGACGGTGCACGAGAGGAATATTTATTTATATATTCATACACACAATCAGCAGAAATATTGAGATATTTTAATATGAAGAAACACATCTATAGAGACAGAGATGAAAAACACATTTCCCAAGTGCCAGTCATAAAAATAACCTTGAACTTTGAATTTAAATGTCAGAGCTTTAATATCCTGCCTCTCCAAAGTTCTCTGTATATTAAATTGTGTTGGTATTTAAAACATATGTATTTGTTTATTTGACATGTACAATTTATCTTGTTTGAGAATGTATTTAAAGTAAGATTTTTTCACAAGTTTTCATTGCTTTCATTTTATCCCAAAAACCATCATGCAATGGTTTGTCTCAGTGTTATTCTATAAGTGGCCTAATTCTCAGTTTGAAGTGAGATTATAAATCAAATAAAAATCTAATTTAAGAGACTAAAGAATTGAAGAATAGGCCTAATAACCATAATGATAATTATCATTAACGTCCGACCCGTTCTGTTTTACTGCTCGTACGACACAGCTACATTTGTAAGACGGACTGTGATGTCGTTCCGTCTCCGCGGTGAAAGGCCATCGGGTCGTTTTTGTTCTTGGTATCAGTTTAATGAGAAAGGTGAGACGAGATAATGTGATGTACTTTTGTGACGGCCGAGAGGTGCTCTGTGTGTTTGGCTCTCCTGCCCTTTATGCTCATTATCGCAGCCATTTCATTGTCAATGACAGTAACTACGATGAATCTGAGACACCGAGAAGAACACATATCCCAGAGTCATTCCAACGTCTAAATGTTAAAAATACACAATAGAAAGGTTAAAATGGGACGTGGGGGACTGTATATGGAACATAGACTGTGTATTAGACTGGACTTGGGGCGACAGTGGCCCCAAGTAAAGTGCAAGTGCCATTGTGTCCTTAGGCAAGACACTTAGGCACATTAGAATGAGTCTGGTGTGTGTGTGTGTGAATGGTTGGTGGTGGTGGGAGGGGCTGATGGCACAGACTAGTTTCCTCGCTTCTGTCAGTGTGCCCCAGGGCAGCTGTGGCTACAGTAGTAGTTTATCACCACCGTATTTGGGGTGAATGAATAATGATGGGAAAAGACTTTGAGCGTCCAAAAAAGCATTATAATTATTATTACTATTGCTTTCCAATTTCTAACCTCACCCATAGTGTTAGCTTGAATAGTTTGAAGGCCTGTTTGGACATATGCTAGCTGGAGATCATCTCCTTACAAGGGCATTTTTCAAACAGCAATAGCTTCACGCCGTAACCAGTGTGGGCGGGTCGCGGCTCAAAAGGGCCCCTGAGCACGTGCACAGACATGACCGGGATCTGACTCCTGGCCGGTGGGGGTGTACAGGAAACAGAATTATCCACTGAATTCTGTTATAATAACAGTGTTCGTAAGACCACTGTTTTTTTCGTTTGTTATTATTTTTGTAAATGATGTTCCCTTTTTCATTGTGTGCTTGAAATTAACTAAACTAAATTCTTACAACAAATTCTTACCTCTTGAAAACGTCTTTACAGGATGGTCCAAAAGTGGCTCTTGGCCCAAAGCTCCGTTCCACATGTTTAGTTTAGTTTTGGATTATTGAGGTCTTGGACATAAACACATGTTACAAGCAGATTATTGTACAGAGGGTTTAAAAGGAGAAGAGAGACACAAAAAAACTTATTTGGGTCTGACCCCTTTAACATTGGTAGACTTTAATCATTACAACATCACAACAAAAGTACATGAACTGTCGTGTTTACAGTGAACACACTACACTACATTCTTCCCGTGGAAAAAGGGCAACATTTTTTTATCTTGGTAATAGCTTTTGGTTGGACTAGAATAATAGATTGTTTATGGTCAGACTAGAATACTAATGGTCACTAATGCTCAGACTGGAATGTTGTACAGTGTCGATGTGAATTGCATCGCCATAAAATTGTACCACACTGAATGTAAAAAAATACTGTCGATGCTGAGGAGTTTTGGTTTTTTAGACCAGCCTAGTTCAGCCGCTACTAAAATGAAATGAAATCTACCTTAAGCAGAATAAAGAAAGTCAAAAACATCTAGCTTTAGCATAATAAATGAGCAAGAATGAAGTATATAACCTCTCTCTTGTTCATGAAACTCAAAAACCAAACCAAAAAACAAAGTATTTTCAAACCAGTCTCACACTTTAAATCCCACTAATTAAAAGTCATTTAGAAATGTCACCGTGATTTTTTCCCCGTCTTGAAAACCAGACGGCGATCGGCAAAGGTCCCCGGGGACGGACGGAAGAAAAAGAAACAGATGTAATTAAAAGTAAATCTGTAGGAAATTAAATTCTGATTGATAAGGTCGACAACGGCGCTGCCATGAAAGCAGTGTAATGAAAAGTAAACGTGGAGCAGACGGATCACGGCAACAGGCGATTACTGAGACCAGAGCCGCAGAGTCCGAGTCCGGTCCGGAGTAAGAGTCTGAAACCGCAGAGTCCGAGTCCGGTCCGGAGTCAGAGTCTGAAACCGGAGAGTCCGAGTCCGGTCCGGAGTCAGAGTCCGTCACCGCAGAGTCCGAGTCCGTCACCGCAGAGTCCGAGTCCATCACCGCAGAGTCCGAGTCCGTCACCGCAGAGTCCAAGTCCGAGTCCGTCACCGCAGAGTCCGAGTCCGTCACCGTAGAGTCCGAGTCCGTCACCGCAGAGTCCGAGTCCGTCACCGCACAGTCCGAGTCCGTCACCGCAGAGTCCGAGTCCGTCACCACATGCCTCGAGTCCGTCACCGCAGAGTCCGAGTCCGTCGCCGCAGACCTCGAGTCCGTCACCGCAGACGTCCGAGTCCTTCACCGCAGTCCGAGTCCGTCACCGCAGAGTCCGAGTCAGTCACTGCAGAGTCCGAGTCCGTCATCGCAGAGTCCGTCACCGCAAAGTCCGAGTCCGTCACCGCAGAGTCCGAGTCCATCACCGCAGACCTTGAGTCAGTCACCGCAGACCTCGAGTCCGTCACCGCAGACCTCGAGTCCGTCACCGCAGAATCCGAGTCCGTCACCACAGACCTCGAGTCCGTCAGCGCAGAGTCCGAGTCCGGCACCGCGAGGGGACACACATTATTCATGATCTTTATGGAGGATCGCAGCTGATCGAGTGTGATTAGTTTGTTTTGGACAAAGAGGCTTCATATTGTTTTATGATGTAGAGTAGACTGACCAGATCCGTTTCTACGCTACTTGGCTCTACTCCTCTCTCTCCCCTCCTGTCATCTCTCCCTTGTCTCCTCGCCTCTTTCTCTCTTCTCTCCTGTCATCTCTACTCTCCACTCCCCCTCTCTCTCCACTCTCCCGTCCTCTGCTCTCTCTCCCCTCCTCTCCTCTACTCTACTTCCCTCTCTCTCCTCTCGTCCCCCCTCTTTCTCTCCTCCCCCCCCACTCTCTGTCCTCCTTTTTCCTCCCTACTGTACTCAACTTTATCACAATGGAGAAAGGTAGATGTCACATTTGGCATCAATAAGATAGGGTGTGCAAAAAGACAGGAAATGTACAAACATGTTAAACAGTGAAAAAGATCTATTTTATGCAATGCCCTTCTCTACTCCTAGGGAACCTAACCCTAGGAACCTACGCATAAGACACCAGTATCTGGGTAAATTCCATCCAGCAGCACTTTTGATACGATGCGGGATAAAGAAGCCTTGTGATGTCACGTACTGGACAAACTTCTGAGGAAAAAGTATAAAATAACAAACTACGTGCAGCAGAAATGGCATCTTCCTTAACCTACTTTTATCCTTGTGTGTTCTTCTGTCTGCTTTGCTAACCTTTAAAAATCCCCGTTATTTGCATTGTCCGGCGCCACGGTGACGCCACTATCACCTTTTGCATTCCTCTGACATTTCGAGTTCGTGTTTGACTCCCATCGTCTGAATAAAACCAAACAAAAGAACCTAAACACGCCGTTTAGTCGCTCAAATGATGAAGAGAAGGTTGTGAAAAAACGAGTTCAGTCACAAACACAGAAGGTCATCGCTCGCCATTTACCGCGTCCTGTTAGCGCCGCGCGACCGTGTGGACTTTGGAAAATTGGGGTCAGTTGCAACTTTTCTGTCGGTAGATGCTGCTTTGTTTGCTAATCTCACAACAACCCACTACAGCGAGTGCGAGGCCCAAAGGCACAAGAACAATGATAAAGTTTTATATTCGACACTCAGATCTATTTAACAGGTTTTTTTCAATATAGCTTTTTGTTGATTTTTTTTTTTTTCAACAATGAGGAGGATTAAGGCTGTTATAGAGACGACAGTGGAGCAGTTGCCTCAACTGTACACGCCACAGGAATCAGTGATTGTTTACATCGTTCTTAAAGGGGAGATTAACTTCCTGTCCCCTCGAGCACTTTTGCGCCGCTGTGTGACGTTAAGTGCAACCCAGCTATAGTACCATCAGACGACATTAGCAACCCAGCTATAGTACCATCAGACGACATTAGCGACTGAAGCTATACATAGTTCCCACAGACCAATGAATGTCACATGACCTCCTCGGAGACGCCATCTTTGATGGCACGCTGCTGTGTTTGTGCATTCCATTAAACAGAAGAATGAGAATAAATGTAGATATTCAAACGCAAATTGGAAAAAAAGGGCAACTTTTGAGCAAATAATTGTATATTAATACAATGGCACCACAGTTTAACGTGCTACGGACATGTTTTACATATTTGATCAAATTATGCAGCAAAAATTAACAAGCAATGCAAACATTTCTCAAAAACTTTAGATTTAATACCAGTTGGAGCTCCATTTAATTATTTTAATTATATTAACAATTAATTTAATTAATGCTAATGCCACACGGACACTCTGGATTGCTGTTATTGTTTATTTCCGCGTTTTTGACCGTATGTTTTGGTGAATGGTGGGCAACTGATTTTTCCAGGCGTAAAGAGCAGTTTATTTTATGACACAGATCTTTTTACAGAAGCAATGCTGTTTGTGAACATTGTTTTAGCCCACCATAGAACTATTATTATCTATTTAATACATTTACGTTGCCCTCGAGAGCCTCGGACGCGACACCGATCCTCCTCATAATAAAGTAATCTAAATAATGAAACTCTCAAGTTACCAGATATCAGCATACACAAGTTAGTACTGAGTAAATTACGTCTGTCAACACATTATAAGATACGATACGCACCTGACACAAAGTGCTCCGAGCATATTCTTGCGTGTTTTGAGGGAGTTTCTTGCCTGTTTATCTTCGCAAGCCATAACCTCCGTGGTTGTTCTGACAAAAGCTTAGTCTTCTCACATTCATGAAGTCTAATGATGGGTATACTGTAAAATCCAAGTTTAACGGAACCTCCAGCACGATTTGAACATCCATTGACCCAGCAGGAGATGACCATTTTCAACTTTATCACGACATTAACACGTTTCAGCTTCTTTTTCTATTGTTTTGCCCACAGAATGCCAACACAAATGGCGCCGGGTCGGAAAATCCCCCGTATGTAGTGACGTCATGTAGGAACTATGTAAGTAACTATGTATAGACGACATTAGCAACCCAGCTATAGTACCATCAGACGACATTAGCGACTGAAGCTATAGTACCATCGGACAACTTTAGCGACTGAAGCTGAAGTACCATCAGACGACAGTGGACAGTGAGTCTGTGGCGTTTAGTGAAGGATGCAGCCGAGGGCCGGGTCTCAATCCCATTGATCTGAGGATTAGTCATGTTTAGTTTTGATTGAAAGAACAGAGGAAGAAGCTAATCACTGGAGTCGAAGCATTAGCGGCAGCAGCTTTGGTTCGATCAGAACAGATGCTGATGTGTCTCCAGGGACTGGCACCGAGGTTTCTGTTTCCTCTGAGCATCAGTATAACATGTACTCCTTGGTTTGGTCCTGTGCTATTGCTAGTAAGGAAGCAATGTTTATTTATATAGCGCCTTTCACAGACCAGATTCTGAAATGTCAGTGGGATTTTCCAGGATAAATATACAGATTCTGTGTGAGTCTGTGTGTAATTTACAACCAAAGTGACTAAGTCTCCCATCACAGCACATTATCAACAAAGTATCAATCAATCAATCAACGTTTATTTGTAGAGCGCCTTTCCTACACAAGGCAACGCAAAGCGCTTCACATCCCCTATCACATCATGCATAAATCAAACACATTAAGAGCACAAGATATATTAAAAACATTAAAAATAAAATCACAAAAATTAAAAACCTTTAAACATTAAAATCACAGATGGGACTAAAATCATAAATAGTCACAGTGCATTAAAAAGATTAAAGATAAAAACAAAGATGAAAAGATAAAATCATTCAGTTGTATATGCGCAGCTAAACAGAATTGTTTTGAGCCTAGATTTAAAAGATGCCAGAGTAGACGCCTGTCTCACATTCTCAGGAAGACGGTTCCAGACTCTAGCCGCATGAATCTGAAATGCAGTTTGCCCATGTCTAGTACCGACTCTGGGCACTAACAGGAGTCCAGTCCCTGTGCTCCTCAGAGTCCGGGTCGGTTCATATGGCACAAACATGTCATGGATGTACCTTGGCGCGAGACCATGGAGAGACTTGTACACAAGTAAAGCTGCTTTGAAGTCTATTCTCTGAGGAACAGGAAGCCAGTGCAGAGACCTGAGAACTGGACTAATGTGGTCGTACTTCCTAGTTCTGGTCAGGACTCGAGCTGCTGCATGTTGAATGTACTGCAGCTGTTTTACAGCCTGTTTGGACAGACCTGTGAGCAGGCCAAAGTAATTTAGATTTTTATCTGAAAAAAGTCCAAATCTACCTATCCATATCAAAATATGTCTTCTTTCAAACTTGCCTTTTCGCCTTAAGAAGAAGAATGTCCTTTATTCGTCCCACAATGGGGAAATTTCAGTTTGATGCATACACATACGCACGGCGAACATTACTTCCGTGCTCCTTAAAGGCAAAGTGGTTAAGTGTCTTGCCCAAGGACACAACAACAGCAGACATCAGTGGAGTCGGTGGAGAAGGTCTCGTGGTGGACTCGAACCCACGACCTTCGGGCTCAAAGGCCGATGCTCTCCCAACTGAGCAACTGTCGCTCCAAAAGTGGCTCATTAAAAGGTCCACTGTGTGTCTAACACTGAGCTGAGATCATATATTCTAATCTACGGAAGCCTTCGCAGGACAATATTTGGTCTTTGACAGTGGTCCCCAACTCCCGCTCAAACTCCATTTTGTCCCTTATCAGCCTCTGTATTCCAAGATGGCGCATTCACACAGAGGGTCCACAGTAATATAATAACTGGATAGGGTATTACTAGCTTGTAGCTGAATAACTCATGTGCTCAGGGGATTCTCGCGGTACTGCAGACTGAACCAGACTAAATTCACGTGGGCTACCCTGAAATTTTCCCCATAGAACTCAATGCAAATTAAAACAGCTCAACCTCAGCTGACAGAGAACCTACAGCTTTTATAAAGATCGGTTTTTATGCGGACTTTTGTCATCCCTTTTTTTTTTCTTAAATCCTTCGGTTTTGTTTAAATCCACACTTTAGTGCCACAAACTCTGCTCGTCTGGCTCTCGCTCTAACTCCCGCTCTGATGAACTGCTCTGATTGGTCAGAGCGCGGCCGAGCCCCTCTGTGCACGTGCGTGAGACCCGGTGTGAGACCCACACACGCGTGTTTGGCGCAACGCATTATGGGAGATCATCCACTGCGCAGAACCGGGAGGACCAGACGATGCCCAAATACAGGCGAGTTACCCATAGATCTTTGCGAGTTTCCCATCGATCTTTGCGAGTTTCAGGCGACTTCCGCTAATCTTTCAGCCCCCATGCCGTCACAAAGTGCCACTGAGCACAACCATTCATTTGAATAGGGCGCCATCTTGGATCGCCGGGGCTTGGTCCACAGCCTCATGGACATTTATAAGTCACATGCTGAGTCTATGACAACAATTCAAAAACAATTCATGGTGGAGGAAAATATTCTTAAAAAGGTCACATTTGTTTTTGGTTAAGATGTTATTGGTTGAGCGGTACATGCTAACATGCTAACGTAGCAGAGACACATGTATTCGAACGCGCCTCGTCAGTATTAATAATTCAGCGTATGACTGC